CCTGCCGCTGTCATACATTGAAAACAATCGCTCATTAGGGATAGAAGACCGTCACATGTTTCTTCAAACTCTGTTTCATTGTTGCTTATGCCTACATCATCATCTAGAAGTTCACTGTTAATCATTGGCATTTCTGAACGGGTATCACTTATATCTTCAGAAGTGTGACCAAGTTCAAGAGTTTTAGCTACTGCAAAGCCAAGTTCAAGAATGTCAGAAAGAATTGTTGTTTCAGCATGATTTTGTAATTTGCTGGCATCTTTGGAGGTTGAAGGTTTTGACTCGGTCTGCACGGTTTGAAACTTTGTTGCACTTTTCATGACTTCACTTAATCCTACGTTTTTGTTTAGTTCGATATTATGATATTGAAGGTGTTTAAATAATTCTGTAGCGGTTTCATTTAGGCCTATCCCACCTCTATATATTGACTTCGAACAAAGTGTACATTTGGCAACACTAGGATTTTCATCCTCAATAACAAAATACTTACATTCTACAGTGCTGGTGCTGCCATCTTTTGAGGTTGAGAGCTTCGACTCAGTTTGAGATACAGTTGTACTTTTCATAGCCTGGGTTGAGTGTAGGTTTTTGTTAAGCTCTAACTCGTGTTCATATTGAAGATGTTGAAACAGTTCTGTTGTATGATGTATGCCTATCCCACTTCTATGTATAAGCTTCAAACCAAATTTACATTTGGCATTGCTGGGGTTTTGATAATCAATGACAAAATACTCCCATACCTCGGGATTTTCGTTATGAAAGGCAAAATTCATCCTTCCTCAGAGCTTAAGTCCTCTCAAGCACACAGTAAACTGTAGATTTTCTTGCAAGCAAATTCCAAAACTGTGTCCGCTAAAGTGCACTTTGACTACTGACTAATTAATAAAACTACAGTCATAACATAACACATATCAGTCAAGACTATTGGTTTATTATCACTGGTCAGGCCCAACCAGTTTTTAGGCTGACTTATCTAAAGTAAATAGTGAGTAAGAAAAACAAACAATGAAAACTTTCACATTCTCAACAATGTTGTCAGATAGCATTTCCTGTGTCATATTTATTTTAAACCATTATCATTGTATTCTACCACCAACAATATTAAATCTTCATAACTAGATGTGGGCTGTCCCACGCACGGGGATCAAGTGCTTGTAGTCAAAATGTATTTCAAATTCTGAACATCTGGTTTAGATATTAATTAAGTTAGAATCATTCAAGAGTTTCAGACAAAAACATTCTCATCCACATTTTAAACTGCATAGGCAAGAAGATCGGGTCATGAGAACATGTTGTTATTGGGTTTTGAAATTTTGATCCCTAATAAGTTACATAAAATATAGAAATACCCACAATTTTTTTAAAATTTTGGCTGTTGAAATGAGCTTACCGGTAACAAAAATTTTAGAAAGGAGCATTTTTGTAAAGAATGCAAAAAAATTCCAAAAACGGTATATTTGAAATTCTTATGTTATTTTTATGGAGACAAAGAAACCCGTTGTAGTTTGCTTGTTTATGAATATATATCTTGATCAAATTTGAATATTTCATTCTGTACTATCAACATTCTATGAAAAAATACTTTTTCCTACAGTCACCCGACAAAGTTGGCTTCCTTGTACTGTTTATAGTACAGAAAGCTGCTAATTGCTGCATATTTACACTTTGCCGTACGGTTTATACTTTGCCGTACGGTTTATACTTTGCCGCACATCAGGATTCCAACGAAACAACACAAAACAGCGTGGTTCTATTATGCACGTAATCCGTGTACGCTTGGAAATAGGTTGGCAACACTTAAAGATAATAATACTATGAGCAGCTGATTGACTATTATAACTTCGATTTAACCTGTCATTTCGTGTTTATAGTTTCGGTATTTCTGAACTTCCTGGACTTTTCTTTTAGACGTTTTTAAAACATTCCTACGATCTTAATAAACAAAAAAAATAATTTAAAGCATTTTTTTAGGCGCGGAAACCACTTCAAATTACAAAAACATACGGAACTATATTCTCAAAACGCGGAGCACATTTCTTGCCGAGGAAAAATAGCAGAGTGATACGGACCGCGGGTACTACTTTCTCTAAGGGCATCATTTGTGTTGCCATTAATCTAAAAACGTGTTGTATAGTGTTTGAAAGGCTAATTATTTATATGATTTATGACTGTAGGAAAAATAAAATGTGTAACATGAGTGAAAAAGGCCTTTGCTGCACTCGAGATGATTCCGCACGAGTCGCACTCTCTTGTGCAGCAAAGTGCCACTTTCACCACTAGTTACACCAATAACTATTTTACCTTCCTTGATGCAGAAAACCTAAGTACACTTTAAAACTAATGTTATTTAAAAGGAGTTTGAAAATATGACTTGTTTATAGAAATATTTGAGTTAAAATCCAAACAGACAAATTGTAATTCGCTTAGTCACTACTCCTCCTTAACTTTATACAATTTAGTGAATGTGAATGTTGCAACGGTTGGCAGGATTGTGCCGAGGCTGAAGGTTTCACTGTGGATGAGTTGCCGCCTCATGCAAGGATGGACCAGGTCGTCCAACCTAACACTCCGTACTTCTACGTGGAACTACCCAATGGCGAGCGTCTCTACCACAGAGTCAGGAAAAACTTCCCACTCCAGTTTGGCAGGTAACACCATTGACCTTTGGATACCGAAGTAGACTTTCTATGTCAGCAGCAGATTTAGCTAATTTGTCTAATAAAAACTGAACATAGGCCTAGTTAAATATGCCAATCATAGAATGTGGTGCTGTTGAAATTCTGTTCTCTGTTCTCTCCTTATTTGATTGTTGGATGTGACATAAAAGATTGTACATACTTACAGTCGGGACCACGTAAGTTGGCAGTTGAGGGATGAGCCTATTTACCATATGGTTTTTAATGAACCAATGAGAACCATGTGGTGTTGCCAAATCTAATAATACCAGCTGATTTGAAAATATTGCTTATAGTATATTTTAATTAGTTTTGTCAAGAGGTGAAATGACAACGTCGCACTAGCCGTATCTTGTGATTGGCTGCCACCAACTGTAAACTTACGTGGTCCAGACTTAAGTAGCCTGTTGTAAAGTAAAGGGGGTTTCATTTCCTGTTATAAAAAAAATGTAATTATAATAGATTATCGGTTGTATGAGCCTACAGTAAAGCATAATTCGTAAAATCTGTTTAATTTGCTAACGTCAACACACTCTATACCTTTAAACAAGATTTTAAAAAAAGGTTTAGGGTACCTGTTGTGTCAATTGATCTGTGTTATGAATAACTACAGCTCTTTCGTGCTGCTAAGAGCACATCTTCAGGTTTAGAACGGTAAAAACCAGATCTCTCATTCATAATGATACACAATGGTCTGATCAGTAACTTTTCTGTTTGGGAAAGACTTTAACGTATTTAATTTTACTTTAAAGATGCAGTCAAGTTTTCATAGTCCAGGAGAGTGCTGGGTAACATTTAGGACCGCTTTAAAAGGTCAATTCAGTTTTCTTGATTAGATATGTGACAAACTGGCTGGGTATAGTATGAAATTCACAATCTAATTGATGATAGAAAAAGGAGGATAGCAGCTAGCTTACCTTGAAAGTGTGGGTAGGCCATAGAACAAGTATAAAAATATTTTGCACACAATATTTCGTCCCCTAAGGGACTTTGTCAAGTGTAGAGAGAGTTTATAAATTACAAGGTTATATAAGGTTATAATTACCTTGTAATTTATAAACTCTCTCTACACTTGACAAAGTCCCTTAGGGGACGAAATATTGTGTGCAAAATATTTTTCTACTTGTTCTATGGCCTACCCACACTTTCAAGGTAAGCTAGCTGCTATCCTCCTTTTTCTACCATTTAAAATCCTGGCCTAGAGCCTTTCCTTAAACAAAACTAATCTAATTGATGAGGTATTGTCAGAAAGATTTATCGGCTAGGCTTCTAACTCTTGCAAGCTTGAATGACATTTGAGGTAATTGTTTCATGCCATGTATAACTGTAAATGTAACATTAAAATTCTTTCAGGGAAGTGTTGGCCAGTTCTGAGCTGCTAGATATGGAGGATCGAGCTGATTGGAGGAGCTGCACGGCTTCCAAAGAGGAAGAAACCAAAACCGCTCTTGACTTTAGAAATGTCTTCAAGCCTTTTGACTTCACTTTGTAAATTTTTAATTAATAAGAATATTTTATCTATTTTGTTTATTTTTTACTAACCTCGTACATCTTTATGTTGCCTTAAAGGCTTTTAAAAAAGTGGACTGTATGTTGATGTCAATATTGATTTTAATATCTTAACAATTTTATCTCGGTCCACCAGAAAAAAATGGAGCAAGAAGAGCAAGTTGTAAGATTTTTTTACATCTTGAAAACATTGAATTAACATTTTACACTGATGGCTGTTTTTTATTCATACCATCCCCTTTTTTTGCAATAAATGTTATATTTTACTATTAGAATAAAATGTTCTTATTTGTGTGCACATTTTGGATTTTTAAATTTTACAATTGTATTTATTTTTGCACAAATTGTCTAGTTGCTGTGAATAAATGTTGAACCTATAGGCAACTAACAAGTTTCAGCATGACCAATTACTAACATTAATAATACCTAATGAATATTCCTTTTGTACATTCCAATTTGGGTTCATGTCAAGTAGGCCTACCACTTGCAGTCAATCCCACAAGCGCACAAAACTGCGTTTGGTCCAAAAAATTGATAAGGTACCGTAGTTAAAAAAGTCTGGCTGTAAAGAGGGTATTGCGGCCTATAGTATGGTTTTAACTTTGTCATTGACTAAATACGTAGGATTTTACTGCCAGAGACAGAAACCATCATATTGTTCAGCTTCAATGGCTTTGTCGAATGAAATGCAATGCATTAAGTTAAGACCAAAGAAATTGATTGATTGAATATATATTATTCAACTATAAATAGAGAAAACTAATGAGAAATACGGGATAAATAAACTAAAATTTAAATTTTAAAAATATAAATTTATTTTGGTAAAACATACTAGGCTATCTTTTAGATGACATTCTTGCAGCTTTGAATTTACTGACAGGCCTCTGGACTTGAGGAATGTCTGCGACTTCAGCTGTTCTCTCCACCACCTGATCGCTGACTGCCTACAATCACAAAAGATCAGCTGTTACAGTCTTTATTGGGCCTATTTATCATACTACTACAATGAAATACGCTTTGCCATCGTACTTTAATTTATTGTTGATAAGTTTTAAGAATTGAAATGTTTCTAACTACAGTAAAGGTACATCAACACAATGCCCATTTCCTAGTGTTAGGCTGGAGAAACCTTAGAAAAGATATGAAATATTTGGCATGTATGGTGATTTTCTCATTAATGGCTTTAATAGTTTTGATAAAATATATAGTGTGTTATTGTCATTTTAACCCTGATTAAAGTGGCTTAACCCCCAACACTGTAGAAATAAGAGTTGACAATTTATCAGAATTTTTGTAATTTATCCCATAAAAATTTATAAGTTACTCCCTCCGTTTGTCCGCAACAATTTAAAATGTGCCTATTGGGGGAAAATAGGCCTTTGTGTCAGTTTTCCAATACCATTTATTAAGAATGTAACCATTTAGTAAGAATGTTAACAATCTTCAACCTAAAGTGGTTGACCATGAATAATGGAACTTAAGCAGATAAAAACTTACCTTTACAGCTGGCTCCTCATGCAAAACGGGATGCTGATCTTCTATTTGATCAAAAGTCAAATTAGTTTGAGAATTTTCCTTGATGAAATCAGGTGGGTTATTAACAACAGGGGAAGGTTTCAAAATTGACTTTGGTGCTTTCTGTTTTAAATATTGAGTATAAATGTCTGAGGGGCTCATTATTTCACTACTTATCGGAGGAACTGGTACACTTGTTTCACTATGTTTGAAAACTATTCTTATCGCATTATCTTCATTTTCACTCTTTGGTTTATTTTCACAACTGTCCTTTTCTTCTTTAAATGAAACTCTTCTTTGTAAACAATTTTTTTCACTCTTTTCTTCTAATTCACATGTGTTGTCGTCTGAGTCGACATCTTCTTCAGAATCGCTTTCTGTATCTTCTTCTTCTTCCTCCATATCTTCATTCATCCTGTTATACAAGGAAAGCTTTTAATTTCCTTAGCTCAAAAAGCCAAATGTTTACATGATCAAGTGCAACATACTTAAACAGTCCTTAGTATTTACCCTAACTTATAAGATGCTTACTTCTATCACATCTTGAGCAGTTTGACTGACAGATTCAGGGGTGAGGACAGACTGGGGCGTAGGTTTCCCCGAACTGTTGAACCTGCGATGTTTCCAGTTTTCTACAGGGTTGTTAGATCGGTTAGATTTAGTTTTTATTTCAATTCTAAAAATGATAGAATTGTTTAAATCTATTTTTTTCTTGAATAAACTTTTCATTTCATCAGATTAATGGAAAGAAGGCACTACGACTTATAGCTAAAGTACCCTGAAGAAGTCCATATAAAACAGGCTTTTAGAGTGTTAAAATTTTACGATCTGTATATTTTAGAAGCAGTATTTTGGGTACTCAAAGACTTGCCCATTTTCAGGGATGGCCACACAAACCATATGTAGGCCTACAACACTAGACATTACAAGCCATAGATTAACACTATTTGAAGATCACCTCAATATGAATTGGACCAAAATGTTACAGCTTAAGCTTAGATCCTGATCATTTAAAAAAATTGCCAATCCAAAGATTTCAAAAAGTTAAGGACTGGATGCAGACCAAAACATATAATTCTGAAAATTAATTTTTAAGTGGAAATTGGGAGGGTTTAATATTAAAATTGTTTTCCTACTTAGCGTTTAAGTACAAAAACAGCAGTTTAAGGGAACGAGGTAGTTGCACACCGACAAATGTCCATCAAATTTGAGGGCCACAAACCCTTTACAAAACATTGAACTAATTTTAAGGTATGTAAAACTTGAGAGTGAGCTGCTTTAAATTGCACCAAACACGTCAAAACCAATTAAAACCTGTAGGAAGAGTTCTGATCATCCCTCCAAATAAATTATGAGATTTCACAACCATTTCATATTCAATTGTGTTTTTGTGAGAACAATGAAATATTGGGTTTTTGAAATCCAGCTATTTGTCTTTCAGTCTACTCTTCATACGCCTGATAAGATTAAATTTTAATTGGATTTTGTCACTAAACTAAAAAATAGCTTGAAGACAAGGACTCAAAATAATTATAGGTCACTATAGTGACTCCTGTTTTAGACATTAAAGAACATTTTGGCTAATCAAATTGAAGTTTTAATTCCTCACCTATTCAAATCATCCTCCAATTCCTCTTGCATATCCAAGGCGTCCAGTCTACGCCACAGGTCTTCCTCTGATTCTATTTTAGGCTTAGAGGCTTGTCTTAGTTCAGCTAACTTTTTACGATACTCTTTTTCTTTTTGTCTGTGTTTCTCTGCAAATTAAATAACATAAAATAACAAGGTAACGTATATGTCAATTGTCTACACAAGCAATTTTAGTACAGGACTTACCTTACATTACAGTACTGTGCACTATAACTTACTGTTGCAACAATATCCTACAAATATTAAATACAATTATAAGATAAAGTAGGTAAAAATTGTATTGAACTATTACAAGCTCGAAACTCTCATCAACTAATACAAACACTGTAATAAATTGAAGTGTTGTGAATTAATGAAAAATTCTGAAAAAGCTACAATAGTCAGTGTTACAGCCGACTAGAGCACTAAGTCCCAAAATCCATCCATTATTGGGGATTTCCATGACTTTCCCTGACTTTCCAGAATGTGGACACTCTGCTAACTTAACTTCACTGTTGTCTTTTATTTAACTAGGCCTATATAATAATTGTAATAACTTAAACCATTGAATTTAATGTTTTTTCATCTATTGAATTTTGTTTAGTTAGGCTATATTGTTTAACAGGTTTTAAGGAATATTTTTTTTACATTGGCCTAACTATTAATATGTTTACACAATTTTTTTGACACAGCCTATCCAGTTCAATCTGGCCTCAAGCAAAGAACTAGGTGGGTTACCAGTCATGAGACCTAGACGGTAATAGCTTATTCCCTACATGAAAATTCACTAAAATTAATAAATTAGAATAGAACCCGCACATGTAGGAAGACCTCAGAGCTACACTTGTCAGTATGTGACACCAGCGCTCAAAGGTAGTGTTTCCATACGCGAGATTTTTATCCCGAAAACGTAATTATTAGACTTCCTATGCGAGCGGATTGAAACAGAATGCGGGATGAAGGGGAATTTTTGGCTACGAAATCTGTTTTTCTTTTTAATACAGATTTTCACATAAAAACCAAACCAATTGATAAAATTACTTTAGCAAATATAATAGCAAGTGTAAACAGTAGGCCTAGTTCATGATACGTCAAATGGATCACTCGGGATGGATCAAGAAAATTCATGCGGGATATAACTGGATTTTTGTTTTGGTTGTGTGGATACACTGCTCGCTGGTTAATTCTACAAACTACTTGGGCACCAGTGGGTTATCAGTATGGCTACCAGCACCAAGAATTGCTGTATAAGCTACGCTCAAGATATAGACTTAGGCCTAAGTCAATACACCTGACAAATCAAGGTTTCCACAACTGATAAAACAAGAATTCTATAAGCTAGAAATTTGGTTTCAAGCTAATGGGCTATTATTGAATCACTCTAAGTCACTTTTAATCAACTTTCAAAAAAGATACCACAATAAAAATTTCCAATATGATAACACCACTATACCATGCTGTTTTTCTGAATGTACCAAATTTTTAGGGATAACTTTAGATAATAAATTAACTTGGAAAACTCACGTTGCAGAAGTTATAAAAAAGTTGAACAAAGCATATTTTTCAATTCTTATTTTATCTAGATCAGTAGATGTCTCCACTCTTATGATGGTGTACTATGGGTATGTTTATCCTATTCTTAATTATGGAATCATTTTTTGGGGCAATTCTGACAAAAAGAAAAAGGTATTTAAATTGCAAAAACAAATCATTAGAATAATTTATTCTCTCAAAAGTAGAGATTCATGTGAAGATATATTTAAAATCAATAACATTCTTACTTTTCCTAGCCTTTACATCTATAATTTACTAATTTTTATGAAACAAAACATCTCTAAATTTTCTGTTAGTTCAGACAACCACAATTATGACACAAGACACAAAGACTGCCTTACATATCCCAAACACAAATCTTCTACCTTTGAACTTTCGCCCCACTACTCTGGTATTAAATTTTATAACAACCTGCCTGATTGCATTAAGTCTGCATCTTCCCTCAGGTCATTTAAAAAGAGTTTATTTAAGTTTTTATGTAACAAGTGTTGCTATAAGCTCAATGACTTTTTCCGATGAGTGTTGTACGGCTTATTTATTTATATTATTTTTATGTTGGTATTCTTAGGAATTGACACTATTCATGTATATTTTGTACATACCGTAATGAATAAAGGATGTTTTGATTTGATTTGATACAAAATTAAAGAAGATTTGTAGGCATTTTTAAAATGTATGAAGGGCCAAAAACTGGGAGTCTGTAATAAGCCTAGCCTTCCTCCATCTTTAATTAACATGTATTAGGGGTACACTTCCATATCTTTTGGCACTAATATCGAATGAGTACTTTTTATCGATATATCGAACAATCAATATATCGATAAAAGTACTCATTCGATAGTTTGGTTAGTTAGGTTAGGTTATATATCGATTAATCGATATATCAATAAAAAGTACTCATTCGATATAAAAAGTACTCATTCAATATTAGTGCCAACAGATATGGAAGTGTACCCTGTATTAGGTCTACCCAGTTCTTAACCAAGTGTAATATTTACCATTGTATGATACCTACTTTTATTTACATTAAGACAACACATAATAAAAGGACCGATGTAGGCCTAAGTTTAGTTATTCCCATTCCATAATTCTTTTACTGTACATAAATGAATCATCAGTGAAATGAACCACACTATCATATTACCTCTCCATTTCTTCTCTTCTTCTTCATCGTAAGCTTCAATGATCTCCTGTGTTTGATTGGTGCCACTGAATGCTTCGTTCTCAAATGGGAAAGTCTTGCGTGAATTCAACAGTTCTTCCTCCTTCTTCAACTTATCAAGCATTTCATCACAACCTATGGAAAAATGTACACATATTAAGCTTAACTCATATTTATAAAAGCAATGAAGTCATCAATTAAAAAAATAGTGAGTAGTTTCAAACTTATATTAAATGATTAGTAACGTAAAAAAATAATAATAATTACCGTACCAAAAGATCGATAGATGTTTTTAAAGTATCCAGACAGTAATAGATAGGTACTTTTATAACCAATAACCTTTGATAATTGCAATTTAAGTGATTTAATACATCTAATTCATCTTAAGCACCGGCCAAATTTGAAAAATTCTGATTTTATTTCAGTTATGTTTCTAATGTTCCAGTGATTACAGCAAAGGTTTAATTTGATTTTTTGGCATATTACAAAAAAATCTTAGGCTGAAAATGAATGATTGGTGAGTGTAGTCTGGAGCAAGATGATATATGTGAATCCTTATTACTGACTAAAGATAAAGCGTATGTTTAGTCATTAACAGTTTTTAAAAAACCTGATGTTCAAGGATAGCTTGGATCAATTTCAAACCATCAAAAACCTGCTGACTTTTCCAAAGTTTAAACCAGCAACCTTTTGACCACCATTGTTAAGTTATATTGATAAATATTTATCAAAAACTGGTTATAGTGCTTGCGTTGAAATCTGCAGGACACTGGTTTGATTCCAAACAAGATTAATATTAAACCCTGTTTGTCATTGGGCTCATTGGGGTTAATGATTCTATCTAACAAAAGATCTAAGCTTTGTCAGATAACAACACTAGAGTTTGAACCGTTTCCTTAAGAATAAAACGTACAAAATGCCTATAAGACATAAGACGTTTGATGTTGGTAGACACACAAATAATCAACTACCGTATATAGGATCTTGGATCAACTAGGCCTACTTTATGCAGCAAAAATAATTAATGTAAGTTAACCTAAATACTTACTTTGTATTCTGCGTTTGCATATATCAGCGGCTTGTTTGGCAGACTGCTTGGCAAACCAACCATCACCTAAACAGACTAGGATCTCGTTTGTGTGGACCAGCTGTCCTCTCATTAAAGCTTTTTTACCAATAGGCACCATCACAGGATGAGACAAGCTATCTCTCATATTCAACAATCGATCGCTTAACTCTTCATGATCTTTCTTGTAGTCTTCCCAACGTTTAGTCTGTATTGCATTCTGCAGTAGTGCCTGAAATACATAAGTTACATTAAGTTAGGTCTATAGTCTTTGCACCAATAGAACACTAACTATTGTCTCACTGTGGTGAACATCTACATCTTGGAAGTTGTTTCACTCGCCTGCTTGAAGGGTCTGCCAAAAATGAAGATACCCACCAGTACAACACACGGCGCGCTGGAGACTTCAACCTTCCTGTCCACCACAGCAAACGGTTTGAAATGAAGCCATCGTACAACGGAGCGAAGTTCTTCAACCTGCTACCAGATGAAGTCAAAAGTTCAAAACCTAAAATGTTTAAGACAAAACTGAAGGAGTGGCTGCTAGGTCGTCAATTCTACACGATTAATGAATTCACTAACTGGCGGAACAACTGAATATATCGAACATTTTATTGTAAAGCAAGAAGAAAGTCTATCTAATTGTTTGTATATACACTTTGTATTTGTTGACACTATGGGTACAGTTTCTTAACTGGGCTATGCTAATATCGATTGAAACTATCGATTCGATTAGTAAACCTTCATGCGATTTTTTCACCATCAGCAAGCTTGGTTGGTTAGGTTAGGTTATGATAGTTTAATTTTATAATAGAAATATTTAAAAATATTGTTTATTAATCAATATTTTCAATTCGATTCAATCGATATTAGCATAGCCCAGTTAAGAAACTGTACCCGACACTATTTCAATCCTGAAGATTGCAAATAAAGCATCTCTCTCTCTCTCCCCGCCTGGGACATCAAATCAAAATGATTTTGCATGGTTGTTTTTTACTCCTAGGCCTAAGTTATGTCTCTCCTTTGAAACGAAAACTGGATCTGGGATTGCTCCAAGCTGGTAGCATAAGCATATGCATGACAAAGATAACTTGGATCTAAAAAAAATACCTAAGTTATTGAAATAAGTTTAACCTAAGCTAGGGAAGTTTGGTATAATATTTTAGCCTACCTGATTATGTGTCTGTAGTAATATGCTTTGGTAGCTACTTGATGCCTCATTTAGCATGACCTGCAGATCCTGTATGTTTTTGCTGACTTCCATTTTGCAGTTCTTTTAATAAGTTGTCTAAAATGTAATTTTAAGCAAAGCAATGTCTAGGTCAGAAAAGTAGAACTTCTGTCATTCAGTCAGACAGAACAGAAGTCGTCTGAATGCAACACAAAACACAACATCGGCACTAGGCTATATTGCTATATTGGGCTCATGGTGTAAATTATGCCAATTATCCAACTTATAGTAGTAGGTTAATTTTTCAAACTAAGCCTAGAGCAAAAATAAATTTTACTAACATTACTTAACGATTACAGCCTAGATCAAAAGATCACTGAATTCAAGAATATTAGAATAAGGTTAGGTCTTTGTTATGCAGTGATACCAACCATACTATCAATCAACATCAACTTCTGAATTATAAACTTCAACAACACGACAAAACAACGCTCATTGGCTCATTCCATTCCATTGCCCGCCCAACCAATAACCATAGTATGTTTTATCATAGACTAACCAACAGTATGTTTTATCTATGGTTTTATCTATGACCATACTTGCGTTTTACACAGAGGATACGCGTCCGGTAACCAGACGTGGATTAGGCGTCCGGTAGTGACGTCACCGGGTTGTGGGGTCCCGGAACACCATTACCTCAACGATACGATATTCGGCCAGCGTTGTTCGTGGTGTAGTGGATAGAGTGCTCGGCTGATATCCAAAAGGTCCCTGGTTCGAAACCCATCGGTTTCTTTAACTTTTTGTCACAGATTTTGCTTTGAATGTAATTTCTTCTTAACTGTACATCTTTTGTTAAAATTTTTGGCATTTATAATTTTATGTTATGAAGAGAATTGAACCTTCATTTGATTTTTTTCATTATCAGCAAGTTTGGTTGGTTAGGTTAGGTTATGACAGTAACTGCCGGACGCCTAATCCACGTCCTGTTACCGGACGCGTATCCTCTGCGTACATTTTAAATTCTATCCAATCCTTGGGTTCTACAGGTATTGGGTCTACAGGAAAGGAATGAGTCTATGGTTCTACATCCGCGGTGGAATGTGAATGCTTGACAGCATACATTAACAAGAAACAAACAAAATGTAAAAACGCTACCAAACTAAAACAAAGCCCTTAACAAAATTAACACACAACATTCCAAATATCATTGAAAACCACAGAATCGTTTATATTAATATTGAGTGCACAACGAAGTTGCATATTATACAGTAATGTAAGCCTGCTTCAAGCAAACAAGATAAAAAACACAAAAATATAATGAATCTGAATCACCAAAGTCAAAACAAAAACAAACATACAAACAAATAAAACTGAAACGATAGATAGATAATTCAATTCAACAAAACAAAGGGAATGAGTTGACTCGATGATGACGAATAATTTAATTTGTGATAGGCCAGTGATAAGTTTGTTTATATTTATCTAGTAGGCCTGATTTTAGTACATTTTGTTACTTAGTGGTTAAAATAGTTTATTTCACGGATACAAATATTACAAATTTGTCAGTTCAGTGTTAAAGCTAGACAAAAGCACTTCAGCACTTCGTATTTTTCAAAAGATTATGATTAACTTAGGCCTAGGTTTTCATTTCTACACTAGTGGTATTTTGTTACACATAAGTTAATACATATTTTTACAGTTATTAATTGTTAAACAGTAAGAAACCTACTTTTTCTTGTCATTTTATTTCATATAGGTCATTTGTTAAGACTGTTCTAACCTCAAACACAGAGTTAGTACCTGTTAATGTCTATTATCACACAAGGAAATGGACTTTTCAAGTTCAATTTTAGGGTTTCTTGTGTTTATAGCACTGTTGAATTGTTCATTTTCTTACATCCCAAGAATATGTCAAAACCAACCTTCAAACGCTAACCTAGGCCTAGAACAGTTCAACCCTGTTGTATGTGATGCAAAATTTGATCAGCGTTATGAGGGAACCATCAACAACACATGCGAATATATTTATGTTTTTACAGTCAATAAGGTAAGTGAATTCTATTTTTCTGAACTCTTACTAAGTTAGGCTAGGCCTAAGTTATTACACAAGTTTAATGTCTTGATATTTGTAACGTAGTAAACGTAGTAGGCCCTAGCATACATTAATATAAGTAATAGTCCCATACAGGCTTATATAACCATAGACAATAGAATTAAATATAGACCGGCAGCAGTGCTGCGGTTAGCATATATTCTGGCGTCCACTAGGAAAGCCGTTTATATCAATAGTGGTTTATTTACCTTGTATTTTTGTCACAGCTCAAAAATGTTGTATAGAAGCTACAACCATAGTTTCGACGCCGTTTGTGTCATGGTCACGTAGGACATGTCGAGAATCAAAGCATAGTTGTTGTTGTCACAGTCGGTCGCTTGGACGTTGTCAAAAACACATGAACACAACGTGACCGACTGTGACAACAACAACTATGCTTTGATTCTCGACATGTCCTACGTGACCATGATGCAAACGGCGTCGAAACCATGGTTGTAGCTTCTATACAACATTTTTGAGCTGTGACGAAAATACAAGGTAAATAAACCACTATTAATATTTGTCTTACCAGCTCAGGGGCAAACCACAACAATGAATAAAGCCGATTAGTTTTGGCACACACCGCTGCAAAAAAATAAGAGAATTATTGAAACTCGATTAAAATTTAAACAATAATAGGCTAACACTAGAGTCAAGTTTGGAACTAGGTACCTACTAAGTAAGCCCATACCGACATTGATTGTTTAAACCAGTTTTGTTGGTTCAGAATCCTAAGTTTTATCCTGCCAGTTGACAATACCTTCTAGATCAATGGTTAGAATCCGGTCAACTCCCAGTTGAATCCATGAAAAATCCCTGGGCTTAATACCGGGTCACTGTTTAAGTAACCATCTGTAAGTCAAGTAGGCCTAATCGAAAACTGCACAGAGAAGACTCAAAGTTAATACTGAAGTGAACGTTAGTACCAATAGAGCAATACATTTTCAGACTTTTAAATGTTTTTAGCTAATCTTTCGGTGAAACGTCTAAACAAAGTCAAATTGTAAGCTGGAGACAAATAAGTTAAAGAAATGGATTTTAAACTGGCTACCTAGGCTACTTTTTTATTCTATCAAGTTAGGCTACCTACCGTTACTGTAACTTATTACCTACAGACAGAATTGTTATTGAAAAAAATGTCAAAACCAAGCATTGATTAAGCTTAAAATTCATATAGCCTACAGTAGAAACCCTCATCATATCCCATCACCAAGGGACCAAGCCCCTGGCCGGATAACGATTTTGCCGAAGAAACCAACCTACTCTATGAAAATGACAATTTATACCTAAATAATAATATGTACGGTAATCAGTATACTATGCAGTCAAAAGTATCATTAAATTCTGTTCTGGGATTAGCCTATTTTTAAAAGAATAAACATGTTTGTAAGAAGAAAAAAAAATTACTGCTAGGTTAAATTTGTTAAGTAGCCTAATCAACGTACAAATATTATGATTCCAGGTACAAAAACTACTAAATAATGATGAAAGTAAAAATGACCATAAATTGGCCTTGAGGATCATTTGGACTTAAATGGTACGGTACATAGGTACCGTACATTTCTATATAACTTTCTTATCCATTTTGTGAAATACAAAAATTAATGTACTGTACTAACCCCGCTTTGAAATTAATCAACCAACTGTTCAGAGGTTAGGCCTACTAGCTCAACTAGGTATAGTGACTCAGTAAAATGTAAACAAACAGATAAATAGTGAGAACGCTCGAGTGGCATGACTAGTGCTTGCATCTAAACGTCTGTAAGCTGTGAGAAAAACATTTCCTGGAAGGGCCGGATAAACAGAGTAGCCTACCGGTAAGACCAATGCCGGATATCAGGGGTTCTACTGTAGTATAAGTGATACATTTCTACGGTATTTTCCATGTTCACATTGTTTCCCGATATAACCAACCTTCCACATTAATCTGTTAGGGTCAAATAAGAGAGCATAATACCGTTTTATCACTAATGATGTCTTGTTATATCTTCAGTTTTGTGTTTGCCTATCAGTTGTTTGTTTTAGAGTGTAACTCTTCCTCCGAGGGTGACTGTTAGTAGCCACTTGGCGACACCTGACGCTCCTCTGTTAGTCGTGGTGACTCAACTAAAGTCTATCTTGTCATGGGAAGTCCCCCTTGTGACTCAGGGTCCTCAAGGAAAGTAAGTATTGTAAACCAATATTATCTAGACAATCGAGCATTGCTCGAGAGTTTAGATTTCTTGGGAAAACATACACATTTATGATTTCAAACAGATTTTTATTTTCTATGAAATACTGTCTAAAATATGTGAAATAATATTTCATCACGAAGGGCATAATGTGACTGTTTTCTTCAGTGTGTGACTTCCTTTACTATTTCGGAAAATGAGCGATGGTTGAAAAGAATGAACAGATTTTTGCCCATTGTGGTGGACAACTTGCCCATTTGTCACATGTTATATAGAGTATTTCATAATATTATTGTTTGTAATAACAAAAAATAATTTTGTACAAGTTAAATTTGATGTTTTGCTTTACTTGATGAGTTTGATGATGCACTACTGATACAGGAAGCATGTTAAAACAATGGATTCCCCTACAGCCCCATAACACTAATTGCAGTATTCCAGTTTGAAATGTGAATATAAGTTCTAACAGTGTTCTTTCAGGCTACATGTTATTTTTATCATAAAACTGCACAGAGGAGGTTCGTAGTTAATATTGGTGAAACGAACGTTAGTATCAATAGAGTAATAAACTTCATAAACTGTACAAACTAAAATATATAGCTTTTCATGTTCTTTTTCAGTTTCACCTATAATCAGACCTCAAGGACGCTTTGTCCGAATCCGTCTGGTGAACAGTCAGATGTTGTAGTTACTATTTCAACAAGGAGCAGTTCACCTATTCAGTTTGTTCTATGGGTCAATATCACCAAAGATTTTGACTTAGAGTAAGTAGTTTGAAATTCCCTTAAAATTGTATTGTAAAAAATGTGGATCTAGTAAAATTTACTGGCCAAAAAGGTTTCTCTGAATTCCACGACATTAGTTATTGTGCTCTCTTATTTGTCAAAAATGTTTATAGGCAATATCTGAATATCACCTTTAGGTGCTGTTTTTTGTTTTAGTCATAGTCATAATTCTTTATCCAAACAATTGATATTCAAGAACAATAAATGAGTCAATATTTCAAATAAGTAATGAGCATGTGTTTCATATTCTTCTTTGCTTCATCATAAAATTCCCTGATGGTGTAAAATGTTCACTGAAGCAGCCAATTGTGTAAAGCTGACTTAAGGCCTTGTTTTAACCCTTTTAAGGCCTTGTGTTAACTAGACTAGTATAACTAGACTTTCAGTTAGTTAGCCTGTAGATTTATTTACTTATTTTGTCGTAAAAGTGCTAGGCTTGCCACGGAGGCAAAGTCTAGTGTGCAAGAGAAAAAATCTGTAAAAATAAAATTTTTCATCTCAAAAGTGCTAAGGAACGATATATTGGGCCTCGATCGTATGAGGAATTGAAAGAAACCATGGCTATTTCAAAACAACAATCGAATCAACCGATATGCCCATTTAAACTCACACGAGATAAAGTCGCGCTGGCACGATATATTTTCGCTTTATGGATAAAATGTGAACAATGATATATCGTTTCATAGCACTTTTTGGGGAAAATCAATTTTCATAAATGAGATGTAATTTTGTAGCATTTCTCAACTGCTACAATTGAAAAAAAACAAATTACTTACATTTTAGTTGTTTTTAAAGAAAAAAACTTTATCATACCAATCCATATTTTGTTCTGACTTACAATTTAAAAATATTTGAGGGGAATACATTTTTTTAATGTAATTTACATTATTATGCTCTATGAAATCATCTACTTCAACAAACCGTTGCCTATTTTGAATGTAGGATTCAAACCGTTGAGTTCTTTACCACAGACTCCAAGTTCATTTAAAACTTTGATCAATTTATTGTGACACACTGAAATGAAATTAAATGTTTATTCGTCACATAAGTTTACAAGATTGTGATTTTTACATATAAACATATGACTTGTCAATTAATTTCCCTCAATTAACATTCATTCATTGTTGAAACTTCAGTTAAATTGTCTCCTCTTTGAGCTCAAGTTTAAACTCCCGAATTAACAATAAACTTTTGGGTAAAATGATGACCCAGTTTTCACAGAATGGTTACTTAAATTAAGAAACAATAAGTTTGACATTTTGCCCTAATACAAAAACATTGTCACTGAGACTACAACAGCCTCAGAGCCTTATTTCTAAAGTTTTCATTGTCACAGAAAGCAATGAACTCAAATGTCAAATGTTAAGCTATTATATTCATCAGCTGTATTAGGAAATAAATGGCGATTGAACCACAATCAATGATTAATTTATCTAGCATTTATTATCTGGACAGGAAGCGGGGTATGTATCAGTTCTGATTAGGTTCTCTTCAAAGAGAGGAAAACGCTCAGTTTTATCTATAAGAATTGTCTAATCATTAAACTCTTCAGGGTTTTAACCTCATAAACTAATACTCAACAAGACAGCTACAATAACGTTGATTGGAAACCGAAACACTTATCAAGTTATTATGGCTTAAGGTTGGTTGTAACTCACTAGGGCAACTCCGGCCAACCTGTCTTCATACTACAAATTGGGTGGGTGTATCCATTTTGGGTCCCCCTGAATCCAAAAAAAGTAGTTTTCAAAGTCATGTCTGTATGCATGTGGATGTGTACAGAGCTAAAGACCTAACTTGTGATCCAATTTTGATGAGATTTGGTACCGGTTTAATCTTTGGTATCTCCAGACTTTTTTTTATTTGGTTATTTGATAGTCATTTTATCAATAGGCCTACCCCATAAAATAGCATAAAAATCAGATTGCAAAAATTGTTTAAAAGAGTTTTATTAAAATTAAGTATGGTACAGTACTTTTAACTCTAGACAAAACAGTACAATCCCCATCACTGTAAAAGTTACGGTTCAAAAGCTTTTGCAACTTTTGTGATCTGCTCATAAAATATCATAGATACTTCTACCGCTTTCCTATAAGGGTGTTGACAAGCTAATCGAAGAATGTGTGTGTCAGATTGCTGATACCGTTTATTTATTTTGAATCCAACAGGGTGTCTAGTAGTCGGGAAAATCGGGAAAGTCGGGAATTAGTATTGAATTTCAAAATGGTCTTGAAAGTCGGGATTTAGCCACACAAACTGTAAAAAACTTGCAGGAAAACCAAAGATAAGAAGGTTTTGTAAGAGAAATGTAAATCTAGTCATTCATTCAGATAGCCAAGGTAGAAACCTGGCAAAACAAATTAACCTAATGAGTGAAGGGAAAATTAACTGCTTAGGAATTGTGAAACCTAATGCAAGACTAGTATCTATTCTTGACGGTGCTAACAACAATGAAAAAACTCCAATTTTGGTTATTGGGGGTACAAATGATTCACTTCAATGCAGTGCAAAGGAGCTTTATAAGACTATAGAAGATAAATTGAAGATACTGTCATATAAAGAACACATATTCTTGGCTACCATACCACCAAGATTTGATATACCTAGAAATAGTCCAGTCCATGATGAATTAATTACCCTAAACAACTACATTAACGAATTAAGCTCCCGCATCCCCAATGTAAAAATCATTAACTTAAACCCTTTAAGAAAACACAACTTTACACGACACGGGCTTCATTTCAACTATAAAGGGAAGAAGACTATTTCTAAAGAAGTAATTGAACAATATGAAGAAATAGTGTTTGGAAGAATAGGGACTGTAGAAAATAAAGCACCAGTGCTCAACTCCTTATCAATTATTCCACCATTTGCTACCAAAGATAAAGCGAATAAAATAAACGAATCTGATTCACTCTCGACTACCAGGTCTGGCTGTTCACTTGAAGCATCCTTACTGGAACAAGGTAATACGAGCCAGCCCTCACAAGTACCAACGGACGTCTCTCAAGCCAAAGAAGAAACTAACAAAGATCTAACAAAGACAAACAAAGATCAATGCACAGCTGGAAAAAATAAAAAACTTGATGCCATTAAGACTATAAAGGAGAAGGTAGGAATAAAAATATTTGAAGAAGATATGTCTGATGTTATCAGCCGCTTGAAGAACAACAGCTCAGTCGCTTTTGCGCACTGTATATCTAGTGATTTTCACGAAGAAAGAAACATGAGCGCAGGCGTGGCTGTAACTTTTAAGAAGATTTTTGGAAGACCACAGACCTCTGACACTCTCAACAAATACCTATCGTTCCAGCAAACCGATAACGGAGCAGGCATTTACGGGCTTATGACAAAATCAAAATTCTCTGCTAAACCCTCTTTAGAAGATTATAATTTGTGCTTTTCACACCTTATTAGCAACATCAATACAAGAAACTTTAAAATGTTGGTATGCTCTCCAATGGGCTGTGTGAGGGACCGTATCTCCATTGAGAACTTTGCGAAGAACATAGTGCAACTTCATATAAAGACAGGGGCAGCAGTGTGTGTAGTTGCAAAGCCAGAAAACTCATCCAGACAACTTTATAATGGACTCGACTTTCCTAAATTCGTAAATGAACTTCGTCACGAAATTCATCAGGCCGAGAGTATGGCGAGGGAGTCTGCACTGAAATCTTCCCAACAGCGCCCATGTGGAAGTGATGGAGTCAAGTCAGTTGTAGAGCACAGCCAAGCAGAGTCAACACAATTTCCTGAGTGTCCAGCAGTGTGTGAAACGGGGGGTTATAAAGTCAATAAGGGGAATAGTGCAGTGAATGTTAGCCGGCCTCAACAAGATAGCATTAGTGATAGTTTTGTAGTTCCATTTAGAAATGATAGTTGTGTAGGAAATGCAAATGATAAATTTCTAGGTTTCTCTACACCTGATAGAACTAATTTAAAACATATCAATAGTTTTTTGGAGTCAACTCAACCTCCAGCGACAGACACATGAACAGTTGCTCTGATGGCACCTCTAAGTCTTTGGGAAACAGATCATTTGCAATATTTCATTGTAACATCCAGGGCATCATCCAAAACAATAAAATTGATGAAATTAATTTATACCTCAATAGTTTCAACAGAAAACCGGATGTAGTTTGCTTTTCGGAACACTGGGTCCCATCTAATTGTAAAATTCCACTATTTCAATTTGATGGATACCAAAACGCCGCATCTTACTGCAGGGAAAATCAAAAAAGAGGGGGAGTATCCATTCTTGTAAATGATCATTTTAAAATTAAACATAGGCCGGATTTTGAAGAATTAACGATTGAGTCAAGTTTTGAATGTTGTGGGGTCCAAATAGTTAAACCCATAGATCTTATTGTACTGTGTGTCTACAGACCAACTGTTTATACCAAAACTGCTTTTGATGTGTTTTTTGAACGTCTCCATTTCCTTTTAAGCTATTGTGTAAATAAGACCCCTAAGGCTCATGTTTTACTTGCAGGAGATTTCAATATCAATGTTTTAAATTCTGACTTCTATACCGAAGAATTCTTATCAATTTTAAGTTCCTTTAATTTTTTTGCACATTTCAATGTTCCAACTCGAATTACGAATGTTTCTAGTTCCTGTCTTGACAATATTATCACTAATTTCTGTCCTAACTTGTGTAAAGCAATAGTTTTAGAAAATGGTTTATCTGACCACTTAACACAGTGTTTATGTTTAGATTATAATTATTTTGAAAAAAGACAATTGAAGCCAAAGATAAAAATCAGTCCATCCTTAAAAAGAAATTATAGTCAAAAAAAATTTGGATAGTTTTGTTAACGTTTTGAAGTATGAACAATGGACTGAATTTTTTAGCAAATCTGAAGTAATTACTGATGTAAATGTACTTTATAAGTGTTTTCTTCAAACTTTTAAACTGCATTTTAATTCTTGTTTTCCTTTAGTAAATAAGAAATGTTATAGTAAAAATTGTGATAAAGGGTGGTTAACAACTGGAATTAGAGTCTCGTGCAAAAGGAAAAGGGAATTACATGAAATTAGTAAAATGTCAAATGATACAAGTTTTAAAGATTATGTAAAAGAATACAAGAAATTATTAAATAAATGTATAAAATCAGCTAAGATATTGTACAACAGAAATAAGATTAAAGAATCCTGTAACAAAACCAAAACAGCCTGGCATATTGTTAAAAAAGAGACTAATGGAACAACTGACAACAGCAAAAAAGAATACCCCTTCTTGTTGCATTCAATGTCTGACAGGACGCAACTAAATCAAATTAATGCATTTTTTTCTGACACATGTAAAAGCTTGAATGTTGGTTCAGATTCTTACAAAGCTCTTGGCTTCCTACACAGTAGAATCCCTCCCGAGTCCAAACTTATATCATTTAAGCCAGTGAACCTTCAAGAAGTGCAAGACATAATAAAAGACTTAAAGTCATCTAAAGCCTCTGGATGGGATGAAATTTCAACTTCATTAATGAAATTAAGTTCAGAGTTTATTGCTCAACCCATTGTTCATTTGATAAACATTTCTTTGTATACTGGTGTTTTCCCTGACCTATTGAAACTATCAAACATCAATCAATCAATCAAATCATTCTTTATTCATTATACATAAAATAACATGTATTGAATAGAGTCAAATAGGCTATAAATACATATAACTACATATTACAAAGTGCTTAAATTAAAATATACTATTAAGATGGGTGAAGAATTTCTAATTGAATATATTAAAAATATAACACTATTGCAATCACAATAACATTAGCAGTTATTAAAATAAAAAACAACATATACCCATTTTCCGGGCTTAAGTAAAAATATACACAGAAAAGAAAAAGCATTACTAATCATTGTGAAAATTTAAATTGTTCCCCTAATTTTGCTATGGAGTTCAAATTATGTAAGCTACTAATTTTTATTGTTTAAAAATTCTTCTATGGAATAAAATGAAAATTTAATTAAAAAGTCTTTTAGTGTTCTTTTAAATTTATTCAAATTGTCTTCCGTCTTTATATAAGCCGGCAGGTGTTGCAAAAAAATCAAACCTGAATAATAAGTTTTCTTTTTGAAAAATTCCAATTTATGTCGGGGTAGGTTAATTTTAAACCTAGTGTTATAGTCACCAGTATTGCTTGAAGTGGATGACAATTGAATTTGTTTTGCATAGACAGATGCTTCATATATATACAGACTATACACCGTTAGGATTTGTAATTCCTTAAAATATCTCTTAGCTGATTGTTTTCTTTGCAGTTTCATCATTAGACGAATAGCTCTCTTTTGTTTGATAAGGATAGAATCCAAATTGGTCTTTGATGTTGCTCCATAAATAGATATTCCATAAGCTATGTGACTATGCAGTAATGAAAAGTATATTATCCTCAAAGTGTCTATGCTGCAGATCTGAGACATCTGTCTTAAAGCACATACACCAGAAGTCAATTTTTTAACAACATGTTTAACGTGATTGTCCCATGTAAGATTTTTGTCGATAATTAAACCAAGAAATTTAGTCTGTTCAACTTGGTCTATCTTGTCATTGTTTATACAAATTTTTGCTTCAAATTTTGTTGTTGATTGTTTGGTTGAAAAATATATGAAGTTTGATTTATTTGCATTTATAAGAAGATTTTTTTCTTTTAAAAATTCATGAGTTACTTGAAGATTTTTTGAAGAAGATGTTTCAATTTCAGAATTAGAATTTCCATTTAGCAGGATATTAGAATCATCAGCATACAGACACATGGATCCGTCACTCCCAGGAATAGTCCCAGGCAAACCTCTAATATAACAAAGAAATAGTAGAGGGCCCAGGATCGATCCCTGGGGGACTCCATATCGTAGTGTCTGATGCTGTGATTGAATTTTTTCAATGTAGTTTATTTTATAATGTTCTATGATGTCATCCACTTCAACAAACTGGTGTCTATTTTTAATGTAGGATTCAAACCATTTAAGTTCTTTACCACGGACTCCAAGTTCATTTAAAACGTTAATTAATTTATTGTGCGACACACTGTCAAAGGCTTTACTGAGGTCTAAGAATATTCCTACCACCTTTTTCCCTTTATCAATTGCATTTATTATAGACTCTATAAATTCTATACCAGCTGTTACTGTGGATTTTCCTTTTCGAAAGCCATGTTGCTCTTTGTCCAGTAACTGATTGATTTCAAGATATCTAGACAGCTGAATATAAACTATACGCTCATAAATTTTGGAAAAGGCAGGTAAAATTGAAATGGGACGATAGCATGATGGATCTTTAGGATTACCTTTTTTAAATATGGGAATAACTTTAGCCAACTTTAATTTGGATGGAAATATGCCTGAAATGAGAGAGGAGTTTATTAAATGTGTTAATGGTTTTGATATGAAAAGTAGTAACATAATACCAGTCTTTAAAAAAGGTGACCCAAAAGATATATCCAACTACAGACCTATTTCTTTATTGCCTAGTTTCTCAAAAATATTTGAGAAAGTCGTCTTCAATAGATTGTGTGATCATTTTGAAACATCCCAAATTTTGGATACATGTCAGTTTGGATTCCGGAAGGGACGGAGTACAACAGATGCAATCTTTAGCTTTATTACTGAAGTCACAGGTGCTCTTGACAGATCGCAGGCAGTAGCTGGTCTCTACTGTGATCTGTCAAAAGCATTTGACTGTGTAAACCATAGCCTGTTAATACAAAAACTAAACTTTTATGGTGTGTCAGGTATGGCTATAAAGTGGATAACCTCGTTTTTATCAACGCGGAAACAGTGTGTGGACCTACGGTTAATAAATCTGAAATCTGATTTCAAATTAGTCACAGAGGGTGTGCCACAAGGCTCAATACTGGGTCCACTACTGTTTTTGGTTTATATTAATGACCTACCTTTGATTTTAAAGTCAAAATCAGTAATGTTTGCTGATGACATTTCCATTATTTTCACTGATCATAGTAAAATTGTTATGCAGCAAACAGCTGAACAAGATTTCCTTCAGCTAGAAAAATGGTTTGAAGCAAATGGTTTGGCGTTAAATAAAGATAAATCCCTTCTGATGGAATTCCAAAAAAACTACCAGAAATCAGACTCATCAACAAAATTAGATTTGAACCTTTCTCTAAATTCAGTAAGCTCAGTTAAATTCTTAGGCATCACAGTGGATCAAAAATTGACTTGGCAAAATCATATTGGTGAAGTTGTAAAAAAATTAAATAAAGCACATTTTATGTTCATTATTTTATCTAAATCTGTTGACATATCCACTCTTATGATGGTTTATTACGGTTATGTCTATCACTTGTTTAATTATGGTGTGATCTTCTGGGGAAATTCAGATAGGAGGAAAAAAGTTTTTAAAATGCAGAAGAGAATTATCCGTATTATTTTTGGACTTAAAGGAAAAAAATCCTGTAAGAGTATTTTTAAAAATCACAAAATTCTTACTTTTCCCAGTATATACATATATAATTTAATTTTGTACATAAGACAACATTTATCAAATTTTCCAAGTAACTCTGATTTTCACAACTATAACACAAGACAAAAGAATAGCCTTACATACCCTAGACATAATACCTCCACCATTGAACATTCTCCATACTACTCTGGTATAAAATTGTATAATAGCCTGCCTAGCACCATAAAGGGTTTGACAGATTTTAAAAGATTTAAAACCAGTCTATTCAAATTGTTGTCAGATAAATGCTGCTACAAGATTGGGGACTTTTTCAATTAGCTATTAGTATGTCAAATCAATAGTTAGTTGTAATGGTTGAACAGTAAGTAGTTGTAGGGGAGAAAGTGTATATAGATTATAGCTCTTAATTAATTAGTGCTGTAAATTTGCCAAATGTATAGTTATGTTTATTCTTGACTTGACACAATTCATGTATAGAAATGTACTGTTTGAATAAAGGATTTTTTGATTTGATTTGATTTGATTTGATTTCAAAGTCGGGAATTTTCATGATTTTGCCGCGATCGTCGTCTTGCGTTTACGTAACCGCAAAAGCCAATGATGATGTCTACACGGCCTCGGGAAATGTTCACGATTTTGCCGCGATAGTGGACGACGACGATGACGTTTCCGTCCCCACGAAAGACGACTGTGACAGCGGGAGACTACGATGACGTATCCGTGACCGCGGTAGACGACGGTGACGTTTCCGTGACCGCGGGAGACGACGATGATGTCTACACGGCCGCAGGAAATGTTCATGATTTTGCCGTGATCGTGGACGACGACGATCACGTTTCTGTAACCGCTGCAGTCAATGATGATGTCTAAACGTACGGTACGTGGAAGATTTCATGGAAAAAAAAATTCCTAGTTAGAATTTTTTATTGCTGCATTATTTCTTTACTTGAAAACACCACATTATCATAATACTACTTTATGATAAAGACAGGGGTTGGTGTAGTATTATTCAGAAAATTTTGTTAAGCTATAACAATTGGTATCGGTATCAAGAATCGAGAATCGATACATTTTGGTATCAACACGCACTAATTGTTGAAAAAACTAGTCTTGAAAAATCTGGAATTAGTCTTGAAAATTCTGGAATTAGTCTTGAATTTTATAATGGAAATAAACTAGACACCCTGATCCAAGTCAAGTGCATTAACTATAATCTAAGTGTTTGTCCCAGGTTGTCCAAGAACTATACAATCGCAGTGTCTCCCTCCGAACCACAGTTTTATCGGTTCAAGTTTGCCGACGACGTCAGTTCCGCATTGCTACATGTCAGTTCAGATGATGCGCCTTGTATGACTCTCTCTATACAGAATAATTCGGTAGGTAATCTAACGTAATTCTATTGGCAGTTTTTAACGTTATTACCTTTATTTACCTATGCTATCTACTGGGTTTATCTAGTTATCTTTAAACAATCGCACATTAAACAAATGGCCAAAATAATACAATTTTACTTGTAGCTAACGTTTTTATTTTTCAATTCAAATAATCAATCCTGTATTTAAGTTTATGTTATTAGAAATATACCATAGGCCTATGTATCTAGTTTCCTTGTAAGGGTTTTTTGTAGATCTTGTAGCATTTTTTATGATTGTTATTATGATTGTTATTGTTTTGCCGATTACCCATTTTTGGATATTTTTTTTTCTTACCGTGTTCCAGCCATTAGTTTTAGGTAAAGAAATAGATGTCTGTTCTTAACTTTGATGTATAATATAACTTTGATGTATGTATAATAGTTACTTTGATGTAGCCTCCTCTAATAATGTAATATAGTAGCATATGACTTCAATATATGGCTCAATTCAACTACCGTACTATAGTTCGGCCGCTTAGAAAATGACCTGCGCGCTCATGCTAAACCAATGCTGGAGGAGGTCGCTTTCTAAGCGGCCGAACTATAGCCACAACTGTATCATGAGAATGGAATGTCTGGTTTCATCCATAGTTAAAGCGTCAACCAACCACCTTATACAAAACATTGTTTTTCCAGTGCCCTGTGTACGACCTGGAGAAAACAATTCAGTATCGAGGACTCTGGCAGACGGTCGTGACTAAAGGAGGTATATTTTTGAGGGTAGGTATTCATTTTTTCACAAGTTTTGCCACTATGGCAAGTTTTAATTTGCAAATTAATGTATTTTTTTTTACTATGAAATTTTATTTATATGGCGAGGGACTGTTGTAGCATATCTATTGTTCTTAGACTTCCAGGCCCAGATATTTCCTAGTGTACCTTCACCAACTTTTTGACAAATTCAACCAGCTGTAAGGTTATAAGTGGATTATGTTTCCAGAAAATCTCTTATTTTCTCTTAAAATTTTTAGTTCTTATGGTAACTGCATAACATTTTGCGAATGGGTACATAGTGGCTTTCCATTCTTCTTCTTTGGATTAACCAATTTATACATGTTAAAAAGTAAGACAGACAAATTTAATCCTTCAAGCTTGAATATCAATGCCGATAAAAACAAGTTGCTTGAATAAATCACCTTTAGCCTTGACGTGAACAGTATCCTACGATTTACTGGTCGCGAATGTATAAATGTGTTTTTCATTGCGTGTTTAATGTGTATTTATTTGACTGTTGTAGCCGTATGAACCATATGTAGCCGGGGGGTGAAGGAAGAAGGAGGAAGACTATTGTTTGCTATTGCGGGTCGGGGGCGATATATGGCGGTTATGGGATGTTTTCGGGAAATCGGAGGGAATAACAGGGTAATGCTAATAGGGTTGGAATTGCTATGTCTGGACCAAACTTAACTTAAGCGTGCTGAATCTGCTACCAATAAAATTAGGAAGATTGCTGGGGACCAGAGGGATGGAGATCTTTATCCAAATCAGAACACCTGCCTAGCCAGCTTGATTTACACTAACTTAACTAAATATTTAACTGTAGACCTATCCTTCCAAACTATGGACTGAACATGGATAATTACTTAGAAATATTGCAAGGTGAATGGAATAGTACGTAAAGTGAATACTGAATGTGAAATATGTAAGAATTCGATTGATAACTAATAACCTACATTCTGGGAACATGTGACTGCAATTTTCAGGTTTGATAAGGATGGCTGCTGAAGGCAGCCATCTCAGCTAAGAGTTAATTTACCTCATTTCAATAGCCGGGTGAGCCAGAAGGGCTCCCCGCTTGTTTCCTGACTTAGCCAGACATTATTCCTAATTGGGTCCTAAATAATTATGGTAAATAACTTATCAGTAACATGAGAGTCCCGGTCGGCGAATTTCAGCTTCCTTTTCATCTGACGGCTGGTAGAGCAAGGACAGGAGGACAAGAGTCTAGGGAGTTGGAGATAGCGCGTTAATGCAGTCGCGGCAGGCAACGAGATGGTCATGCAGCCGGGCTTTGCGAAATGCTTACACTATATAAAATATAGCGTGCCGCTATGCGTCACACTGTGATGACAAATCTAATTCTTATCAGTTTCTATTCTTATCTATTCTTATCAGTTCTTATCAGTCAGCCGATGCGAGCAGACGTAGTTTCCTCGTGAGTCCAGCGTGTCGGCCTGCATGCCCGTATGCCCGTATTAACTTGCCGCTACGTCACTATTATACGCTTTTATACGCAACTTTAAAGTTTGTTTGATTTTATTCTGCTAAAAGTTTTACTTTTACATATTTGCTTTTGTGTCTGTTATAATTGTGCGAGAAAATGAGCTGCCCGAAGTGTAACCGTGACATCGCGAATGCCAAAAATGTTATAAAGTGCGTGGAATGTAACTTTAGCTACCACGCGTCGTGCAGTCGTATACGTACTCTCGCTAAACTGACCGCGATGTCGTCGCGTAGTGTAACTACTTGGAAGTGCGATGATTGTGCACAGGATACATCCTCGCTCTCCAGCAGCAAGTCAGACCAGGAACAGCCCAAGGTAACTGATCTTCTGTTGTCCATGAAACAATACATGGAAAAACACTTCGAAACTGTTGAGAAACAGCTGGCAACACTTCAGGCGTCACAGGAAGAAATGAAGGGCCGGATGGGCGTGATTGAGAGTGAAAGTGCGTTGTTGAAGGAGCAAGTAGACGTTCTAAAGAAAGAAAACAACGTATTAGTGAGTAAGGTTGACAGTCTGGAGCATGAGTTGGCTGATATTCAGCAATATACACGTAACCACAATATCGAAATAAGAGGGATTCCCCTTACGAGAAATGAAGATGTCTACCTGATTCTCCAAGCAGTGGCGCGGGCTCTGGGCGTCGAGTACAGTCGGGATGCCATCTCCATTGCCCACCGACTTCCAGTGCCAAGAGGGAAATCCTTCTATCCCAGTATTGTGGCGCAGTTTGTCTCCAGGACCACTAGAGCGGCGTGGATCAACGCAGCGAGGAAATCTAACATCACCACGACAGACCTAGCAGCTACCCTGCGTCCCGGACCTGTTTATGTACTGGAGCACCTCACAGTCCGTAACAAGAAGCTACTAGCCTACGCTAAGGACAAGTTGGAAAATGGTCTTCTCACTTACGCTTGGGCGCGGGATGGTAAGGTATTCGTCCGGAAGACGGCTGAATCAAAAGCGCGGCGTGTAACAACACAGGAGGAGGTGAATGAGGTCGCAGGAACAGCGGAGGTCGCAGGAGCACCGGGGGAGGTCGCAGGAGCACCGGGGGAGGCCGCAGGAGCACCGGAGGTCAACGAGGTGTCGGAACAACAGACGTCATAGAGGTGCATGCTTGTGGAGCAACGCAGAACAGTGTGAGATTCATTATTTATATATAGCCTATACCTTATTTGCCAGTCACCTACTTTTATTTAGCATAATTTGATAATTGAGCATGAAAAAAAAAATCATTATCATATTAAAATCTTGTTATGATTAGGTATAATTGTTTTTGTTACTACTTAAGATAAATATATACTATAGGCTATATTTGTATTATTATTTATTTATTTTTAAATCAATTATTTGAAGTAGGCTATACTTTTTTTTTTTGAGCATGGACAATAATTCAATTTTTCTGAAAGGATTACCAGAAAAATATTTATTTTTGCCTATTAACTTTAAGTTATTACAGCATGATTACTAGCACTCAACTTGCATGACAAATTGTGTTTACATTATTATGTATTTATTTTCCATGTATGATGTTTGCCAGGTTAACATAGAACATCACTAGGCTAATTGAGCATGCAACACGAGACCCTATATTGTTTAGATTATAAGCATTATGATAAAAAAAAATAAATAAATAAATAAAAAATAAAATAAATATTGTAAAGTTGTAATGCAGAATAATGATGTTGCATGCTTTCGGAAACTATGCTAAATATGTCTTTTTCCTTCTGAGTAATTTAAAATATATTGGAAATGTAAACCGTCAATAATTTGCTTGAAGTTTTTTAGTTGCGAAAGAAATTTCGTTCAAAGACTATGTTTCTCATATATTTTAAAATGTACATGTAATGTTTTGTATTTTTGCGTAAACTAGTTTCTTTTTCTTCATTATCATTTACTTTTCATGATTTTTATATTTTAGGATCGCTAGTAATTCCATGCAATAAGTATTAACAATTTACATTTTTTCATACTGTGGTATCTTTAATGGCAGTTGGGTAATAGCAGGTCGGATGTGCTTTGAGATGATTGACGAGGAGCAGGACGATCTATTAACTTACCGCAATGTTAGTGAATATGTATATGATGAGTTTTGTAATTTTAAGTTTTTTTCTGAGATTAATCATAACCTAAAGGATAACTTTACCTTATTTAATTTAAATGTTAGGAGCTACAGCAGAAACTTTGATGAAGTTCTAATACTTTTAGATTCGTATGATAAAAAGTTTGATATTATTGTTTTAACTGAGACTTGGACGGATGGTAGTTGTGTGCCTGTGAGTATGGATGGGTATGATGTTATTGTGAGTAAGGAGAGTAGAAATCAGAATGATGGTGTGATTGTGTATGTGAGTAAGAGTTTTTGTGTGAGTCATGAGGAAGTTAGATTACACGGCGCTACAACTATTAAAGTAGACATATCGCTTGACGGGGGGAACGGGCTCTCGCTGCTCGCAGCTTATCGCAGTCCATCGTCGAATCTTAATCACTTTATTGATGACCTTGAGTCTTATCTTGACAGCGATGACCTGGTCGGGCGGTGTTGGCTGGTTGGTGACCTCAATTGTTGCATTCTCCCTGGAAATGAAGATCCATTGTCGCAGCGTTACCTCGATGTTATGTATGGAGCTGGCTTTACATCATGTATTAATAATCCAACAAGAGTTACACATAACTCAGAGAGCTGCATTGACCACATTTTTACAAATAATAAAAATATTAGCGATGTGAAATCTGCGATAATCAAAACATCGATAACCGATCACTTCATAACTGTTGTGTCAGCTGATATTAATGTCCGTAGATTAAATACAAATAGTGTAAACCGAAGCTTTGTATGTGTTGACTTGGGGGTCGCCAAACAACTGTTGAGTTGTCATGACTGGTCCTCTGTACTTGCTACTGAAGACGTCGATGAGGCATGTGATGCATTTGTGCGACAGCTGCAAGATATCACACTCAAAGCAACATCAAATAAATATTTTTCTTCAAAAAATACTAAATTAAAACCTTGGATCACCGCTAGCCTTGTAAAATCAATTCGTGTGAGGGACAAGATTAGTAAACAACTAAAAAAACAACCATTTGATCAGGCCTTAAAAGATCATTTTTCAAGATATAGAAACATTTTAAATATGTCAATAAAAAGAGCAAAAGAAATGTATTACCAAAAAAAGATTGATGAGTCGAAAAATAATAATAGACTTTTATGGAAAAACTTAAATGAAATTATTGGAGTGAAAAAGAAAAATGATGAGTTTCCCATTAAGAGTTTCATTCCTGAGGATAGGTTTCCTGATCAGACAAGCATTGAACAAGTTTGCAATACTTTCAACGAGTATTATGTAAATGTAGGTGCCAACCTAGCCCGCGCTGTCCCGCCGGTACTTGAGCCAGTGATCAATGATGATGACTATACGACTGACACTGTCTTCCGGCTGTTGCCTGTCACGGAGGCGGAACTTGGTAGTGTTGTTATGAGCATAAGGGGTGGGTCTGCTCCTGGTGCTGATAAAATTCCAACAAAAATGATCAAAGATAACTTTATTGAACTAAAACAACCTCTTTTGCAAATAATTAACAACAGCTTACTCCAAGGTAAATTTCCCAGTATATTGAAAGTGGGAAAAGTTTTGCCTATATATAAAGGAGGAGAGAAAACACAATGTGTTAACTATAGACCAATTACTTTGGCTAGCGTCATTGCCAAGATAATAGAGAAGTGCGTTAGAATTCAGTTTGAAAACTACTTAATACAATCTAATATTCTCTTTGATAAACAATTCGGCTTCCGCAAAGACAAAAATTTGAATGACAATCTTTACTCTCTAACTAACAGTATACATGAATCAATTAATAAAAACAAAAAACCTCTTTTAGTATTCATTGACTTGGCCAAGGCATTTGATACTGTTGACAGATCGCTGCTTCTGTACAAGCTAAGGTGTATAGGGGTTACTGGAACTGCTTATAATTGGTTTAAAAATTACCTTTCTAATCGTTCCCAAATAGTCTCCATTTTAGGAATGAGTAGTACACAACAAAACATTGACTATGGAGTAATTCAAGGATCAAATTTGGGACCTCTTTTATTCTTAATATACATCAATAACCTTGGTAAAATTAATCTGGAAGCTGGACAGATCTTCCTGTATGCCGACGACACCGCTCTTCTGTTTGAGGGCGATAGCTGGGAGGAGGTGTATCAAGGTGCGGAGCGGGGCTTACTCACCGTCAAGCGATGGTTCGATCAAAATAAACTCACTGTAAATATATCTAAAACTAAGTATATGCCAATCTCCCTCAGAGCTGACTACGACCCTAGAAACCTAGAATTAAAACTACATAGTTGTAGCGTTGGCAATGTGTGTGACAAGTGTGAAAGTATTGAATGTGTCAGTGAATTTAAATATTTAGGTGTGATATTTGATCGACGTTTAAAATGGTCTGGCCATATTAATCAAATCAGGGTCAAACTACGTAAATTTATCTTTGTTTTTGCAAACCTATCAAATATTTTACCAATTAATTTGTTAAAGAATGTCTACTATGCTTATGTACAATCTGTTTTGCAATATGGAAATCTGGCCTGGGGTGGAGGATACAAAAGTATACTTGCACCAATAGAAATTATTCAAAAAAGAATAATCAAGATTGCACTCCACAAACCTATTCGATATCCCTCTGAAACAGTTTTTGATGAGTTCAAAGTACTTAATATTTCCCAGCTATATACTAGATCTTTAATAATATATATTTTTAAGAACAAACAATATATTTTTTGCCAACCAACTCACAACTATCCAACTAGATTTTCAGTTAATATTGGTATCCAATTGCCAAAAGTGAATAAATCGATAAATAAAACTTCTCCACAATACATTGCAAAAATAATGTTCTCAAAGTTACCTAATAGTTTAAAGTATCCTGAACCTTGCAGTTTGCAAACATATAAAAATCAAGTAGACAAATGGTTAGTGGAAACAGGCCGTGGCCAGATTGATTGTTATCTTGTGTCATTGTATTCGTAGTTTGCGTGTGCGTGTGCGTGTGCGTGTGTCGTCGATGATGTGGCTGTCTGTGTGAGTGGGAGAGTGAGTGAGTGAGTGAGTGAGTGAGAGAGTTGCATGAGAGAGAGAGAGAGAGAGAGTCGGCTCGCCGCTGGCCCACAGCCCCACAGGGACAGAGCAGTGACGGCCCTTTAGGGCTACCAGCCGCCTGTACAGGGCCTGTAGTAGTGAGTCGTTGCATGCGTTTTGTGTGTGTGTGTGAGTGTGTGTTGTTTGTGCGTGAGTGTGGGTAGAAGTTGTATGAATGGTTTCCAAGTCCCAGTGCTTTTCACAGTATTATTAAATACAGTACCCTTAAATACCCTTTTTCTAGTTTTTTTTATCATTTATTTATTATTATTAGATTTGTCTCTATCTTTACTTTTTTCAGATATTTCCATAATACTTTCGTTATCTGCTGTGGCTTCCTGGTAAAAATGTTTTTTTCTTCCTTTTTGGTAAATGTGTAATTAGTAGTTAAGTAACAATTATTATTAAAACAATGTTAGATTATAATATGGATTATAGATTATAATATGGATAGTCTGATAATAACTCGTTCCCCACGCACAGGCTTCGCCTATGTGGGGAAATTCCATTAATATTAAGAATACTGTTTTGTAATTTTTTGTTTATCATGGAATAAATGATGTTTGATTTGATTTTGATTTGATTTGATTTTGAATTTGGATGAACATACTTGTAAATATCACCTGACATTGCCTGAATAGGCGAAACATGAAGGTAGTGTGGTAGTGAGTTTCACCACCACATTGAACTGTTGACGAAGGTATGTACCTATAATAGTATAAATTATTAGTAATTATTCCAAATTTCCTGGTTCCATTCTAAATTATTTAGTCCGGTTTTTCCTGTGTCCCCGTTGTCTGGACACCCTGGTTAGTATTTCAGTACAGCTTTGTTTTATTGAAAGTTCCTCAACAGGTGGTTCGGACTAGCGGCCCGGTTTGAAAGTTCTAATCACATTCACTTAGTTATGTTAATGTTTGTTTCATGAAGAAAGCAGAGTTCCCTGTCGGACTGTTTGTAGTGTTTGTCGTACACAGCACTAAGGAGGCTTGCCACAAGTTTAACACCGGGGCGGACCACAACCAGACGAAGACTGTGCAGTTCGCTCTAGAGAAGAGCATCAGTGAATGGGATTACATCGTGGCTGTTTGCAGCGTCCTCATTGGGTTCCTCATCATCTACATGACTGTTGCTGTTCTTGTTTGCTTTTCTAACAGGTAATTTCACCAAGTATTAATTACATATTGATAAAGAAGATGGAGGAAGGAAGAGTGTTTAAAGACAGGTTTGGAAAATCATTAATTGTAATCGGCCACCAGCACTGTTTGATATATTTTATATTTTCTAATTATCCGTTCCAGCTCTGACTTGTCCATTGTAGAGGATGACCTGGGTTTTGGTCACTGTCAAGCCATAAACATATTCATTATGGCTTAAAAGTTATCCATTTTTCAATATTGTAAAACGATTAACACACAAAGAACACATAACACAACGTGATAATAATTTACACAACTTTAAATAATGCAGTACTACTCTTATATCCGAATCAATTAATTGGGACCATAACTCGTTGAGATGGTCAAAAAGTTGCATTAGTTGGAATTTATTGAAATTCGGGGGGAGTTTTATGGAAAATACTTAATTAAGATTTTCGTGCCAAGCCGAGACTATCCTAAAGGGATTGAATACCAAGAAATAAGCAAGCTTGAGCTGAGCTTTTACAAACACAATCGCAGCACACGTCTGCAAACATTTAGTGACCGACATATTCACGTTTTTGCAATGATCACAGAGTAGGCTATGATGCATTCCTTATGGTGCATTTCTGTGAGGGGGGATGATGATGTCTACACAATCGTATTCATACAAGAGATATTCATTATTTGGTTGTGATCACGGCTTCTGCCTTCTCTAATAACGATTTTTTGTTACTTTATTGCGCATCCTATTACCATAGTTTTAGGTTTTTAAAATTCTGTCCGTGCAAGCGATTCAGATAATTCGTTTGGATAGTTAGAGTGCAGATAACTGGAGTTCTACCATACTCAGTCTAGATTTTGAAATAATTTTTGGTCAAACGGGAATGTTATGTGATATTCAATGTGCCCAACTTAAGTATTTTAAACTTATGTATTTTTGGTCAAGGGCTCTGAGCCAGAATATTTTTTGATTTAGTTTTGCATAGGAAGGCTAACCTGTACAGTGAGCGAGTCTACTACTTCTACATTGGTAACTGGTAACACACACTTTGTCAAATACAGAGAATAAAAGACTACAATGGTACTAAATCATCATTGTTATTACAATGGAATCCGGTTGAAGTATTTGTGTGTTTATTTTTTGTCACCTATTGATAAGACCTTACCTTTTTTTCTTACGTAGGCTTTCGAGTTTTTCGACGTCAACCGCGTCGTCACTTACTATGAAGTGGCATCATCAGTGGCTAGGCTGAGACAAACCTTACCTTTTTGTTATCTTCTGATCCTACCTGATAAGCCTACTCTTTATATCCAAAATAAATTCAAACCTTACCACATTAAGTAAGTTACTGTATCCGGGATAAGTTCTTTTATTATGTACATTTATTGACGTTTTTAATTTCATTGACCCCCATAATTTTCCAGAACACCTTCAAATCAATGCTCTCAAGAAACTCAAGTAGCTGTTGTCGTCAGTACACCCGTACTTCCGTACATACCTTCAAACTGCGCAACAAGTCCGTCTTCTCTGGGTTCTCCTTGGGGTAAAATATTGTCTATTTAACTTTTATTGTGCTTTAGTGTAACCTAATCATTGTTGGGATTCAGGACACTAAAAAACTAGAATAGTTTTATGTAAATACAAAATAGTCCATGTTTTGTTGTTAGTTATGAAAAAAGTGTAAGTGTTGAGTTTGAGAACATATTAAACTAAAGGAAACTGTTTATGATTATTTGAGGTATTAAATGTGGCACTTGAATGAAAAATAATAAAGCTAGGTTGGATAATTAGATATAGGCTAATCAAGACTCAAGACTACTGTAAAATCTGCCCCTCTAAAATGGCATTTGTCAACAGGTACAGGGTATGACGATGACAGTGATTTGGATGACACTGAAGTAGATATGCTACATGATGCTAGCGAACAAACAGTGATACTCAGGTAGGGATTGTCAATCGGTCAGCTTAACATAATTGTAACTTTGCTAAGCAAGATTTACTTCTAAACAGGCTGAAGAGGACATGGTCCTAGAATAGCCTCAGTCCGGTGGGGTTTCGGCTCCTTGAACTGAAACATCACGAAACTAACTAACAAATCTTAAAGTATATTGTGTAAAGGTGCATGACCATTCTTAATCCAAGTTCCAATATATTGGATACTTGCTGCTATACCTGTACAAACATTGACCATTGATAGAATTAGACATTCCATTCCAGAAGATATTGTGTCTAGATGACGTGGCACAGAAAAACCCACGTGTATTGAGTCTCAAGTCCAACCAATACTTGTGGAACATGCTGACAGTTGCAGTGTTTTACGCACTTCCAGTTGTACAACTGGTGTTAACCTGTCAATCGATAACTTACATTGTTACAGGACCAAGAAGATATTGTGTCTAGATGACGTGGCACAGAAAAACCCCACGTGTATTAAGTCTCAAGTCCAACCAATACTTGTGGAACATGCTGACAGTTGCAGTGTTTTACGCACTTCCAGTTGTACAGCTGGTGTTCACCTGTCAATCGATAACTTATCTTGTTGCAGGACCAAGAAGATATTGTGTCTGGATGACGTGGCACAGAAAAACCCACGTGTATTGAGTCTCAAGTCTAACCAATACTTGTGGAACATGCTGACAGTTGCAGTGTTTTACGCACTTCCAGTTGTACAACTGGTGTTAACCTGTCAATCGATTACTTACATTGTTACAGGACCAAGAAGATATTGTGTCTGGATGACGTGGCACAGAAAAACCCACGTGTATTGAGTCTCAAGTCTAACCAATACTTGTGGAACATGCTGACAGTTGCAGTGTTTTACGCACTTCCAGTTGTACAACTGGTGTTAACCTGTCAATCGATTACTTACATTGTTACAGGACCAAAAAGATATTGTGTCTGGATGACGTGGCACAGAAAAACCCACGTGTATTGAGTCTCAAGTCTAACCAATACTTGTGGAACATGCTGACAGTTTCAGTGTTTTACGCACTTCCAGTTGTACAACTGGTGTTAACCTGTCAATCGATTACTTACATTGTTACAGGACCAAGAAGATATTGTGTCTGGATGACGTGGCACAGAAAAACCCACGTGTATTGAGTCTCAAGTCTAACCAATACTTGTGGAACATGCTGACAGTTGCAGTGTTTTACGCACTTCCAGTTGTACAACTGGTGTTAACCTGTCAATCGATTACTTACATTGTTACAGGACCAAAAAGATATTGTGTCTGGATGACGTGGCACAGAAAAACCCACGTGTATTGAGTCTCAAGTCTAACCAATACTTGTGGAACATGCTGACAGTTGCAGTGTTTTACGCACTTCCAGTTGTACAACTGGTGTTAACCTGTCAATCGATTACTTACATTGTTACAGGACCAAGAAGATATTGTGTCTGGATGACGTGGCACAGAAAAACCCACGTGTATTGAGTCTCAAGTCTAACCAATACTTGTGGAACATGCTGACAGTTGCAGTGTTTTACGCACTTCCAGTTGTACAACTAGTGTTCACCTATCAATCGGTAACTGTTTATTTGTTACTAGTTAAATATAAATAGTTAATTCTAATTCCATTTAGTTTAGAAGGCAATGAATCAAATTTAGTACATCTTACACTAGCGGGATTATGATAAGGAGGGTGATATGAGTTTGACAAACTTGCTTGCAACCAATGCTTTTCACAACATTACCCAGGCACATGCATAACACAGTGGGGTGTTGTAGTGTATCTTAATTAGCCTAGAAAAATTTCTGTAGGAAAAAGCATTTGATTGGATTAAACAATTATACATAGGATGGAGAGGGCATAGCTACGGTAACTCAACTGTTGCCTTTGTAACTGCCATCTACTCCTGAAGAAGCCTCAGAAAGAGGTAAAATATCAAGTCTTTTGTGCATATATAATTTTATTTGTGCTGTGACTCGTCTGAAAGATTCAATATTCAAAAAGTCTTTTGATTATCAGTTATCAGTAGATCATGACACTCATGATACTTATCAATAGATATTGATATTATATTATCGGTTCTTGGTATCGATATCCTCCCTGAGAACCAAAACCTAGAACACTTAGAATAACCTAGAATTCTTCCTAAGAACCTACCTCTCCGTCACTAATTACAATACTTTACACTACATTACATCTGCTAAATTTATTCAATTTAATTAACCATGCGATTTACCAACTTTATGTTCAGGTGCTGATTTCTTCAGGCAACCAAGACCTCTGTTACTACAACTTCCTTTGCTCCCATCGTCTGCTGTTTATGAGCGACTTCAACCATGTTTTCTCCAATATTGGGTAACGATATACAAATTCAAGATTCACCCTTTCTTAGTCACCGATATAAAAAAAAACTCACATCATGGATATTTGTCACTAGGCTATCAGTTAATAATGCTATCTAAAGTAAAATAGACATCAAGATCAAATAACAACAAGATAAGGGTTTGGGCCGTTACCTCACAAGAAACTTTTTTTTAAATGTGTATGGCATTAAAAAATGATAAAAAATATTGGATAAAATTTGATTTAGGCATTTAAATTTTTCAAGTTATTCCGACAGTTGCCCCTTGATAATTCAGGGTGTCAGATTAATGAAAATGTCAATTTGTCGTATATATATTTAACGTATATGATAACGGGATATTGACTAGGAGGAAAATTTTCAAAGAATTCACTATACCCGTTTGCTTGTAGGTACTTACTTTTTGGTGTGCTGTTCCTGTTGTTGACTTATCGTAGACAGCGACTGTGCCACTCGGTGGGTCATCACCTGGGCATACCTTACCACTACGGGATGTTCTATGCGTTGGGAGTAGCGCTATGTATGGAGGGAGTGTTGAGTGCTTGCTACCACCTCTGCCCAAACCATTCCAACTTCCAGTTTGGTAAGTGTAAATAAATGTAAAGATTTAAAGTAGTTCACTCCCAATTTACCGAGGTTGTTGGGACCAAGACTTGGTTACCGAGAAATTTGGATAACATTGAAGTCGCTTATTAAGTTATGGAAGTAAAATACTTGTAAAATATATGTTTCGACAATAAAAAATAGAAGAGGTGTGTGAGCGGCTCGATCTTAGAGCTGAGCCAAGCCTTCAAGCTCGGGAGATCAAGCACCAAGTCAGAAAGTCGACCCTTTTAAAATTGCGATCCCAGAACGCCATCACACAAGGTGATGGTGACGTTTCTATGATTGCAATAAAAGTTTCATATTCTACCGCAACCTTGGGGGAAGATGGTGACGTCCACACCACTGTTCAGGATTTTCTTGTGATCATAGGAGACAATGATGATGTTTCCGTGATCATGGGAGATGCTCAATATATTGCCACAATTGCAAGAGACGATGATGTCTACACAATCACATGAGATTATCAGGATTTCCCCCTGATCGCTTGTGACGATGATTCGAGATAGAGGGATATGATGATTATCAGATAAATATTTATTTGCAATCTGGTCTATGACTGAACTCGTTATCATAAGATATTGCCTTTTAACCCTTTGTCGACCGACGGGACTCTTAAGTCCCAGCATTGCTTTTTCATAACAGCTGCCAATGAGGCCATTCTAGGGTTGCTATTGGTTGTAGCTGTTGCCTAGCAACAGTTTCAGCATGTCCCCTTGTAGTTCTAACTTAGTCCACCAGGCTGCAGCACATACTGGACTCCATAGAGGTACTAGCCCTTTGTCGACCGACGGGACTCTTAAGTCCCCCAACCCAAGCCCCCCTCAAGTCCCAAATAACATTTTTTTCCCCTAATTGTTACAAGTAACCATGGAGATATTTAATAACTTAATTTGATCCATAAAAACATCTTCCAGCAAATATTTTCTTATTTTTCCAATTATTTCAGTGGTTGGGCATTTAGAAAGCAATATGTAGTGAAATTTAATATAAACTTAGTTTATTGCTTCATAACCCTTTTATTTTCTTAATAGAAGATATTCGACTTAACATCAATACATTCAATTGCATTTTGATTATAAATTTTAGCAGATTAAACATTTTTGACAGATTAGCTCATTTATAAGGCATTATTGAAAACTTTTCACAATAAAAAGCTTGGCTCGAATAAAACTCGAGGCCAAAATCTCAGCACAATAAAAAATCCCAGGCTCGCACACCTCTAATACATAGCAAATTGAAAATAATCAAATGGAATTTTCATGCAAACATTAGTTCAAATAAGGTAGTTTTATTAAATAAAACCATAACACAAACATGCTCAACACATCTTCAATCTTCTTGAAAAATCTTAAGTAGGTACCGTACTATTAAAGTTATGCCAAACAAAAACACTACAGCATTTGTAAAAGTAAGGTGGATATTTCTATTAAAAAGCTTAAACTTATTGTTTGAATTTGACCTGAGCTATAGCTTGTCTCAATCACGTCAACATCAAAACATCATAATGACAACTACTAACTGCCTTAGCGGAAATGAGACTGTTATTGTTTACATTCACCAGACGTCTCGTCCAGCTTACCAACGGCTTGCTGCCAGCCCAGTACTGTGTGATTTTCATTTGATAGGTCCACACATTTGATAGGTTTATTTCCTATTTAGTATGTTGTTTTCGGGTTTATAGCAGAGCATTCATAAAATAATTCATTAATAATTAAAATAATAAATTATTTCAACTATTATTTAGTTTTTATACTAATAATTGTATCTAGGCTCATGGCTATTGTAAATCTCTTCTCTTATAGACACGTCTTTCATGTATGTGCTGTCGATATTATCGATGGTTAAAATCTACCAGACACGCCACCCTGACATAACTGCAAGCGCGTACACTTTCTTTGGCGTGTTGGCGCTTGTCATCTTCCTAGGAATGTTTGGTGTGCTGAATGGCCAGCCGTGGTTTTACGTTGTGTTCACCGGTGCCCATCTGCTCACCTGTCTCGTCATCACGGCTCAGATATATCATGTCGGCACCTGGAAACTCAGTAAGCAAATAATTTATCAGCATTTGGTTATATCAGTCCCAACTATTCATTGGATAATTTATTATTAACACCTAACATTTGCTTAGTAATTTATTATACTCTTGTTCACAATATTTATGCGGTTTGAGGGGAAGTTGCCCCACTACTTTTATCTGCCTAAAGTATGTTGCACCTGATTGTCGTTTTAGCAAATCTCAGCTTTTGAGATATGTTTTACTGGCAGGTTAAAGACGTGTACCCGCCTAAATTTTGTGAACGGAGTATAGTATATATTGGTTAAGTTAGCACTTAATATTAGTGGGGTCACTTGTCAGCACTATTGGTTAAATTAGCTTTTAAAATTTGCATGGTCATTTATGAGCAATACAGTAAAAGCTAGAATATCCAGCATCTGACGGTCCGGCACTTTCAATTATCTGTCATCGGTTCTGTAGCCATTGGTCGGACTTTGAGAGTAATTGCTCAGTTTTGGTATCGATTATTCTGAATTCTGTAGCGATCGTTCAGACTTCGGTAGCGAACATTAAAACTTTGGAATCGTTCGTTCAGACTCTGGTAGCTATCGTTCAGATTATGGTAGCAATTGGCAGACGTCAGGAGCAATCGTCCGGATGTTTGTAGTAATCGGCTGACGTAAAGAGGGGTCGGTTTGGAAGTTCAGTTGTTTTTCCGCTAGTCTCACAATAACGGCGGTTTGTAGAATAAGTTCATTGATTTCAACTCGTTCAATAATCCAGCGATAACAATACAAGGTCCTGAATGTGCCGGATAAGCGAGTCTGCTTTATTGGTTAAATCAGCTCTTAACATTTGCAGAGTAATTGTAGCGCTTAATATTTACTGGGTAATTTACTAGAAATACTGATTAAGAAGTTGTAAGGATGTAACATGGAGCACAAGGGCCTAGGTTTGAAGGTCTTTGTGAGGATTGCTGTAGTCTAGTTTTATACAATGTCTAGGCTTACTGTTTCATGATCACTGTTGGTGGTGTAATAGTAAGAATATATTTGCAGGGATTTAGTTGTATGTTGTGTGTGTGTGTTTCATTTCTCTATTTGATTTATTAAGTACGTCTTGTGTTGATTTTCAGATTTTGGAGTGTTCTCTCGTGTTTCCAATTCCTTCAAGAATGACTACGGTGCCGGTGGACTGAGAGGCTGCTTGATGCCTCTGTACCCGGCCAGGATGATTCTTTTGTTGCTAGGTATCCTTTCAACTTAACTAGCAGCTAATAAAATATTCCATAACATGTAGAGTAGTGTGACCACAAGATCTTATAGCTGTGTTTTTAAAATATACTAAGAGGTCGTCTAGTGGTCGAAACATTGTTTTGATTTTCTGTTTATATTTCCTTATTTTGTTGTTTTTTGTCAGCATAATCCCATAAGGCCCATGATAATTTTTTTAAAATTTTAAATTCATTTTTTGTGTTTATTTTTTAGACTATTTTCATTTTGATTTATATAAAGGGATTCTGCACATCCACAGGAAAATATCTGTTTAACAGTAAGCATAGATTTTCCCTGCGATGCACACAAGCTGAGGTAAAAGGTTTTCAAGATACAGTGGAGTCCTGATAATCAGAACTTCGTTAATCCGAAAGTCCGCTTAATCCGAAAGTCCGCTTAATCCGAAAGTCAACTTAATCCGAAACCAAAAAATATATTTTTTTATAAAAAAAATTAAAATTTTAAAAATTTATTGAAAATTTGTTTAAATTTTTTTTATTTAACTTTTAACACAGTTAGCTGTACCTCGTCAAAGTATTCTGTATCGGCCGGGCGAGATAGACTTTTTTGTAGAGTATTTTAGTAAATATTTCACCATTTTTGTTATTAACATTTTTCATTTTCTTCCCGGGTTCCAATGAGACGTAGGAATTGGCTAACTCAGGAGCTCGCTAACTCGGTCGTGTGGCGGAACTGGCTAACTCTGGAACTGGCTAACCGTCTCAGTCAGGAATTGGCTAACTCCGGAACCCGCTAACTCGATTTTGTCTCGCGGCGGAATTCGCTAACTCTGGAAGTCGCTAACCCGGCCGCGCCCACTGCATGGAGCGTTGCCAACCTTGCACGACAAAATAATCGTACATTACCGTATTTCAAAATATCAGTGTCAATGAAGATACAGTAAATGTAATTGTTTTTGTTATCAATTTCACTTTTAACAGATAACTAGCCCAAAGTAATTCAAAGACAATTATTAAAAAATCAAGAAAAGTGTTTTTTTTATTTAACTTTAAAATGGCCAGTTAAATGTTTATGATTTCGATCTTAAATATAAATGCCATAAGTATAAAAGAAAATAACAGAGTTGAAAAATATTGAAAAGGTACTAAATAATTAAAACTCTACGAAATTAAGCTAAAATACACGTTAGTTCTCAAACACGGAAAACAAATTTAATCGTAATGTCATCAAACATCAACCATCAGTCATCAACCATCGTAACTTTCATAACTAATTCATATATTTAAAATTAAATGTTCGTCGTTGAATCGTCCAACTTACGTGTAAAAATATGACATTAGACTAAGCTTTTATCTAGGCCTAATAGTTTAAGCCAAAGCATTGTAGGCCTACTAGTAAATAGTTGCCTAATTCTAAAATGTGTTGAATTTTTTAGTAATAATGTTAAATGTTTTAAAACAGTTTTTAGATTGTACACCTAAGCACCACTAGTAAATAATAGGAGAAGATATAATACTCATATAATAAAACGTGACAGGGTAATTTTAATTCACGATTCTTAATCAACGAATTGACGGATTTTCTTGGTTGCGTTTCCTTTACATTGGTTTCACAATCGAAATAAACTATACCAAGCCATTGCTCGGTTCACCGTTCCCCGGTACTGAGCTACTCAATAGACAATAGCTTTGTTTTTGGATAAGATCAAGTAATTTTAGGTATGGCCACCATTCATAAGAATTGTAACAAACAAGAACGCCTGGGTCGATTTAGAACCAGCCTGGAGAAAAACTCCAGACTTTTAAAAAGTAGGCCTACTGAAAGACGTAAAATTAATATTAATTAAACAAAATTAAGAGGATGACTCGGGTTCTACACTAATAGCCTACGATAAAAGAAATTTACAAGTTGTATTTATGCATAGACTAATTTTTAATGCAATCTATGAATAAATTAGGCCTACAACTTTATAATATTGTATTGATAAATATGTATTTAAATTCAATAGCTCTATTTAAAATTACATTACCACTACAATGTATTTCTGGACTGACGTTTAACGTGTAAATGTTATCGTGATTTATGATTCAAGGCTACAAGCCCAGTATATAAAATACGAACTCAATAATTTATTCGCAGAAGTTCAAAAAATTGTATTTATTCGAATAAAAGAAACAAATGGCGAACTACGAAAATAGATATTTCATAACATGAAAAAGATCCAAATTAAATGTACATTTTTATCTTTTTGCATACCATAAAGCTACTATTTAAGTAAGAAGCCCAAATATAAAACATACTCCCTTATATTAGTATATTTCTAATCCTTATGGATCAGCTGAAAACAGTTTTATTGTTAGTTCTGTCCGGTGCACTGTCTTTAGAGGTCGTGTTTTGTTTACAATTGTTTCTTGTTTCCAGTCATTTAAAACCTCGTTTAACCAAATAAAACGTTCTAATCACAACTAATACACGTTCTCTAGTTATATAACCAAACAGTAAAGAGCAAATTATGAAGCTAACTATAGAAATAATAGAAACACAATTTTGTCGACACTAGCGATCAGTGTCACCGGACATGAACTAGACGCGAAAAACGAGCTTCAAAGTTTACAATGGGATATAAAGTTTACTTGTGTTGGTTAGTCTATGGTAAGACTATAATGCATTTTCCACCCTAATAATCATGAGAATAATGTTAAACATACTTCTCAATATATTTATTTGATCAACTACGTTGCTCTTACTCCTAATTAATCGTAGGAAACGACATTATGGTACCGATACTATATAGGTACTACACTTTCGGTAACACTGGCCGAAAATATTCGTGCTTGGCTCCCATTGGACGGCCCGCGAGGCTTCTGATTGGGAGTTAGTGAGTTCCGCCGAGGGACCGAGTTAGCGACTTCCGTACGAGGACAGAACCCGCTAACCCGGCTCTAGAGCGGGTTAGCGGGTTCCGGAGTTAGCCAATTCCGAAACCGAACAAGTTAGCGAGTTCCTCTCATCGACCAAATTTGAAGATAGGGCTTTTAACATGGGGTTAGCGAGTTCCAGAGTTAGCCAATTCCGCGGACCCGTTCCAATCCCGCCAAATCACAAATGGATTTTATTAAGTGACAATGCTGCAGCCACAAGGTCTAGCCTGTAATGTGAAAAACAATCCCGGGCTCGTGCCTAGGGTCCTCCTAAGACAAAAAATTTCAAAAAAATAAAAAATTTGCAAAAAATAATAAAAAACGTTTAATCCAAAATATTTGGTAATCGGAAATGGGCCCGGTCCCAACCATTTCGGACTAACGGGACGACTACTGTACATACTTATCCATCAATACACAGGGTGTCTTGCAACCCATATGAACAAACTTTGTCACGTTATTCAGCATGTCAAAAGAAACAAAAAATGAGAAAGATCAGAAATCTGATCCCATCCTCAGGAGAGGATGTAAAATATAAAAATGCGACATCACTAGTTCTTACTGCTTTTTCTAGTTCCGCAGAAGAATTAATTGGCTGAAACACTTGCAACAATTAATTAAGGTATTTTTCAGCCAACCTTGGTAACTGGGGCCTGGTAGCTATGGGATACTTCCTACATCTTGGTGACTTTGCTACTTACATGCTGTCCATATTTCTTGCGAATTTGTTCATGTACTTCATTTTCTACATCGTAATGAAGGTAAGATCAAGAAAAATACCCTGCCGCAGCAAACCTGCATACTAACAAATTTCAATTTACCTGGCTGGAATTCCACTAAATTATTCCCTTAAAATTGTCAGATTTATTTCCTATTTAATTATTACGGTATTAATTTTAATGAGCACTTAGGTTTGCCGCTACAGGGAAGACAATAAGGTATGTTTTTTATTGAAATATTGTTAGCCTAGTATTAGGTAAACAAATTTTCCAAATTTCATTTACAGTAGACTCCCTCTTATCCGGACACCTTTATATTAAATATTTTAATGACTGCTAAAAAAAAAAATTATAACATCTAGTATTTTACTATGTATATTTAAATAAACTCTCATCATCTTACCGAATATATGAACGTATCAATGATTATAGCATTACACATAGTATAAATAATTCAATTCTACGTATGTCCGTTGAATTTGTGTCGAAAAAGCTAAATGTTTACAGCTGTGTAAAAAAAATGGTATTATACCAAAAGCTAGAGTATAATGTTAGCGTCGGCTGCTAGACTTTAAAAAATTTTAAACTTAATTTCTAAAAAACTAAAACCCTAAACTAAAATTATGGCTTCGACATTCCTTAGTTCTCAAAATTATCTTTCTTTCAACAAAAAAATCATGAATATCCGTCAAGTAGTTGATTCAGAATCGTGAAATAAAAAAAACCCTGTCTTGTTTTATTGTATACTAGCTGTACCCGCGGGCTTTGCCCCGTTTTACTTCATAAGTGAGCTCGTTCGCATGGCTCAATCACGTCCTGGTTGAAGTTCGTTCGCTACGCTCACTCACATTTACGTTGAAGCTCGTTTGCTGCGCTTACTTGCCTTCAGGTTAGCTCGTTCGCTACGCTAACTCGCCTCCAGGTTGAAGTTCGTTCGCTACGCTTACTCACCTTTTGGTTGCTAATTAGCTGTTGTCATAAATTAAAAAAAAATAATGGTGCTGCACCCTGTTGGTAATCCTTGTAACTTTAATGCTATTGAACATCATAGAACAGAACCAACTTGTTTAATTGAAACAGCTGTTAAGATTCATTAATTCCATTTAAATATGAGTACTCATAAGGTTAACATGGCAAACTCCAGAGCCACTGGGGCAGAGCCCGAGAGTCCGATCAGAATAAAAACAGCTTAGTTTTCCTATTTAATGCTTAAAGAATCCGTGTACCAAATTTCAACCTCCTAGGTAAATGGGAAGTGGGAGAATTAGTGATGAGTGAGTGAGTGAGTGAGTCAGTCAGTGAGGGCTTTGCCTTTTATATATATATAGATGACTATCCCATAAAATCCCGGAAAATATCGGAAAAATCGGATTTTCTCGAAAATGGCCCTAATGATTTTGAAAAAAGTTTAGTATGTTGTAGCCCTTTAAATTCTGAAAAAAATGGTATGACTCCCATTTCTGTAAACATTCTGGTTCAAAAGTTATTGTAAATTATGATATTTTCCTATAAAAACCTCCATAAAATAAAGAAAAATAGGATTTTAGATAGAAAGCTGGTTTTTATTTAACTAAGTAAATCATGGTGGTTAAAATTTTTGAATTTTTTTTTAATTTGTTTAATATTTTGATTTTTAATGGGTATTTTTCCAAAAAAACCCAGTAAAATAACAGAAAATCTGATTTTCACAAATATGTATGCCTACCTAACGATTTTGATAAAAATTTAGTATGTTGTAGCCCTTTAAATTCTGAACAAATGTTATGACTCCCATTTCTGTAAAAATTCTGGTTCAAAAGTTATTGTAAATTATGTTTTTTTCCGTTAATAACCTCCATAAAAGAACGAGAAATAGGATTTTAGATAGAAAGCTGGTTTTTATTTAATTAAGTAAATCATGGTGGTTAAAATTTTTGAAATTTTTTTAATATTTTGATTTTTAATGGGTATTTTTCCAAAAAAACCAGTAAAATAACAGAAAATCTGATTTTCACAAATATGTATGCCTACCTAACGATTTTGATAAAAATTTAGTATATTGTAGCCCTTTAAATTCTGAACAAAATGGTATGACTCCCATTTCTGTAAAAATTCTGGTTCAAAAGTTATTGTAAATTATGTTTTTTTCCATTAATAACCTCCATAAAATAACGAGAAATAGGATTTTAGAAAGAAAGCCGGTTTTGATTTAAACAAAGTATGTCATGGTCCTTAAAATTTGGAATGTTTTTTTTTTAATTAAAAAAAAAAATTTTTTTTAATTTTTTTTTAAATTTTGATTTTTAATGTGGATTATCCCATAAAATAATGGAGAAATCGGATTTTCTTAATAATGGCCCTAACGATTTTGATAAAAATGTTGTATGTTGTAGCCCTTAGTAGTCAAAGGTAATAGCTTATTATGGTTAATTCGCTAAAAACAAATTCACAAATTGTGAGACATTGGATAATGTACAACATTAGATTTAACACTTGAAAACCTAAATAGTCTTTTTGTACTGCTACCGGTATCCAATTACTAATTACAGAAAATAACGATGCCTCTTTGCTAGTTTTTGATATATTTGTATTGGAGTATTTTTTTTACCGTCTTAACACTCGGTCTATCTTAAATTTAAAAATTATTTGATTTTTTTTGTTCTTTAAGGGGTTGCGTTACAAGCTTTGTCCTGAAAATTTTTATTTTTGAACCTGGAAAACCTGTTCTTACATTGTATTGGGATATGATAAGATCCTGAACACCATGATAGAGATAGGCCAACCTTTTTTAGCAAATTTCCCTATAGGGAAGGTTAGCTATTACCGTAGGTGGCACGGTAAGACCTAGGCCCGGGACCGATTTACTTTTTCATTTTGATGTCCCCAGAGGCCAAAAACACCATTGGTTCAAATTTGTATAAATGTGTGTGTGTCCGTGAACGCAATAACTTGAATAATTTTTGTCCGATTTTGATGCAATTTGGTTTAAAGGTGTAAGACGGAATGAACTAGTAGAATGAGTTCGCGAGCCAGCATGATCGGACCATGGGAACGGGGTTTTATAGGGTGAGAATAAGGTTTTCTCATTTTTGACTCTCAAAACACAAAATCTCCCAATTTATCTCTAAACCTTTTTAAAGAGTAAAAAAAAATTAGTATATAAAAGTGTTTTTGTACGGTTATCGGTAACGAAGAAAATTCAAAATATTGTAAATGAAAAATTCCTATGTTATTCTTATTGAGAATATTGTACATTTTTGTAGTTTGCATGTTTATGGATATATTTTGACCATACTTGGCAAATTCAATTATTTTATACTAAGCTATTAATACTTTACTAAAAACACACTTAATTAGTTTCCTTGTTGCAGCAATCCTAGGTACTTGTTAAACCTAATGTTATTTAAATAGATTTAGTTGATAACCAATTCAGACAAATGGAAATTTGCTTGGTCAGCAGGTTTGCTGCGGCGGGTGTATTTTATTTCATGATCTACTTTGTGTAATGTTTCAGTCCAATAAATTTGAGTAGCTCTTGCTTTTACTCGAACAAGCACACTATATACAAACCAAGAAATCACCTCTTCTTTGTATAATATGGTTCTCTAGTTATTTTTACCTAGCTTGTGGTACCACGATTAGACCTATTTTCATCAATATAAGTTTTTCTGTATTTCAGCGAGTGTCGAAAGAGAAAATTTACAAAGCACCTTTGACATACACAGTGCTGGCTTTTATGTTTTGGGGTGCTGGATGTTACTTCTTCTACCATAAATCGATTTCTTGGAAGGTAAGTGTGTGAATTTAAATGTCGTCCATGATTTAATCTTTATCTATTTAAGTCACAACAACAAATTCGATGGATATTTCCAGTGTTGGGGAAGCTACTTTTAAAATGTAGCTAGCTACAACTACTGCTACATTTCCAAAAAAGTAGCTTAGCTACAGCTACAGCTACAGTTCCGAAAAAGTAGCTAGCTACAACTACAGCTACAATGAAATGTAGCTACAGCTACAATTTTAGCTACTTTTCCAAAGACGTTACTTTTTATTCCACGCACATTAAGTAAATGTAAAATTAATCGCAACTACATTTTTATTGATTAAACATTTACCTAAAAAAATTTCAGTATTGTATCTAACATTTCTTGGAAAACAAATTATTCCTAGATTGTATTTAATTTGTTGGCATTTTAAACCTAACATTACAACAACAGAACCAAATAGTTGGGTGTCCCATCATATTTAGTACTTATTTTTAAATATTGCATTATTTTTAAGCATCTTATATGTAAATTTCATTAAGTTCAAAAGACATACAACCAAACTATATTTTAAAAGCTCATTTTATTTCTTTATTATATATTCATTTATAGATGTCTTATATCAACAATTAAGATCAATAAAACTGTAAAACGATTATTTAAAAATACTTTTTTGTGTTACAGAGTTTATTGCCTTTCTTTACTTTTAATGTTAAAAACGACATTGCTATAACTTTTAACCATAGTGATAAGTTACTTGTTCTATGAATAACACTTTTCAATGTCAAGAAATCGTCCTTCATTGTCATTATGCATAGGGCAAATTGTGCTTTAACCTAGTTGGTACAGAAAACAGTATTCAGCAACTTATCCTGAAATCGGCTTTTAATTTAAACATGTTGAAATTTTAAAGTAAAAATAACATCTAGGCCTTGGCTATGTAGCAAGTTGGATATAGTAGGCTTGTTCTTGCAAGGACTAAACAGATATATTCCTAATAATTGAACTTGGAACTTGGTATTCGTCTTAAACCATAGCATAGCCTAGGAATAGTCCTATACAAGAGCTGTTAGCAAGAGCAAACTATGCTATTTTTTCAATGTAAGTTTCATGTTATATGGAGATTTTTTCGTCACAATTATCATGTAGTCTAGGCATATCTTAAATCTCATCAGGTAATTTCCTCTTTGTTACTTTAGTAATCTTTGAAAAATCTTCGTAATCTAACCAAGGAAGGGCTTGTGATGATGAACCACAATCAACAGCTGAAGCAAAGGTTGATAGACCAGCTTTCTCATTATTTTAGCGAATTTCCCCTATAGGGAATAAGCTATTAAGGTTAAGTGATGGTTTCCATTGAAACCCAAGTTGAAACACTATCGATATAATAAAGAAACTAAATTGATTACTTTCCCTGTCAATCACTTGCAAGCATTCAATAGCTTCTCATGTCACCGGTAACGTTTAAACGTCGTCTGCATCTAGCGATTTTATTTTATCTGACAGTAATCATAGAGTAGTAAATTAAGGAAATGAGAGCCAAAAATGTGGATAACACTCATTTAATGGCCTCCATATCCACACAACGTTGTAATAGGGAATGAAACGGCTGCAACCAGCTGTACAAAGCCAAGAAAGTAGGCTAGGCCTAATTTTTTTGAAAATCTCAGTTTGAAAGAGGTTGTTTCACGTAAGGTTGAGGTTATGATAAAAATCACTATCTCAAACATAGTTAATGTAGCGAGAAAAGTAGCTAAAATTCTGCTACAACTACTTTAAAAATGTAGCTAGCTACAGCTAAAGCTACAAAATCTTAAAAGTAGCGTAGCTACAGCTAACGCTACAAAAAAAGTAGCGCGCTACTGTAGCGTCGCTACTTGTAGCGCGCTACTTCCCAACACTGGATATTTCAAAGCTGAATGTTGAATCCATCTGAAGAATAATTGTTTATTGCCAGTCTAATACTGCAGTGGACTTTATATCAAATTTTAGGATTATCAAATCAAATCTCATATTTGATTACACTGCCGTTCTCCTGGATACTACAACCTGAATAAATATAATATAAGAACTCTGGTTGTACTACTGGTTGTGTGTACTCTGGTTGTAGTATCTAGGAGGACGGCAGTGTAATCAAATATGAGATTTGATTGGATAATCCTCAAATTTGATATAAATTCCACTGCAGTATTAGACCGGCAATAAACAATTTTTCTTCAGATGGATTCATGATTCAGTTTTGAAATATCCTGAATATATATTATCTGAAAAGTTTAAGGTAATAAACTGATTTGTAATCTGGTATAAATATTTTAAGACCTGCCAAAGTCAAAGTCAAAGTAAATTTTTTTCAAGAAGTTGGTTATTTTTGTGATGTGGTCATTTATATATTTATATCTGGCCCGACAGACATCGTCCTGTCCTAATGTGGTTTTATGTCAAGTGCTCGTTCATTTCAAGATGAACTCGTTCGCATGGCTCAATAACGTCCTGGTTGAAGTTCGTTCGCGACGCTCACTCACCTTTAGGTTGAAGCTCGTTCGCTGCGCTCACTTGCCTTTAGGTTGAAGCTCGTTCGCTGCGCTCACTTGCCTTCAGGTTAGCTCGTTCGCTACGCTAACTCGCCTCCAGGTTGAAGTTTGTTCGCTACGCTCACTCACCTTTTGGTTGCAAATTAACTGTTGGCATAAATTTGACAAAATAATAGTGCTGCACCCTGTTGGTAAACCTATTACCTTTTTAATGCTATTGGACATCACAGAATCAAATTGTTTAGTTGAACCAGCTGTTAAGATTCTTTAATTCCATTTAAATATGAGTACTCATAAGGTTAACATGGGAAACTCCAGAACCACTGGGGTGGAGCCCTTTTGACGGATCTGCACCAAACTTCACACAAACCATCCTTGAATAATGCTTAATAATGCCTGAAAGTTTCATTACAATCTGTCGAGCGGTTTCGGAGTCCATAAAGGACAAACAAACATACATTCATACAACCAAACATACATTGAATTTTATATAGATAGATTTAGATATTTTTCAGGTCGGGAATCTCATGATAGGCTATCATGATATTTGTAACAAGTGATGTATGGTCCCTTAAAACATGTAACACTTCCTTATCCTTGAAATGTTGTACGATTGATTTCTTCTTATTCCCATGACTCCCATTTGAAACAGTTCAGTGTTTGATTTTCAGACTGTTTTTGTTACCAACAATGTTGTTTTCCAGCTGACTCCGGCAGAGTCTCGGGCCTTCAATCAGCGTTGTGAGATACTCAACTTTTACGACAAACATGACATTTGGCACTTTCTCTCAGCAGGGGCTTTGTTCTTTTCATTTATGGTAAGTTGAGAAGCGGACTTTTAATCGAGGGATTATTCTGTACAAAAATTTGACGGGAGAATTGTGTAATTGGGTTATGTAAAGAGTTTTGATCAATATGACAAATGAAACATAAGTATTACGGGAAATGTCAATAAATAACAGTCTGCAACAAGCTCCAGTCGCATCCAAGTAAGCTATTACTTCCCTGCTCTGTTGCTTCCAATTTAATGTGAGGGAAAGTCGTAACACTCAATACAATATAATCAATAACGTTCTGTTCTGTGAAAAGGTTTTTGTGCAAATGGGGACCATTAACTATTGTAATCCTTTGCCAGTAGATGGATTTGCATGGAAAAAAGGGTTTGGGATTAAATAATCACACTTTTATCCAATTTACTCACTAATATTTAGATTTATTTCTTCGTTATTTGAATCTCTCAGGACAAAAATCAGTGGTTGTTGGACAAGTTCACATTTCCTCATTTGAATGACTCCTTTATTACCAATAATTGGTCTTTCCTCGATTTATGAAATACTTATTGAACGACATTGGCACCATGAGTGTGGAGTTGATTAAGTGAATTTTGTTACTGCTTTAAGACCAGCTGACATAAGCTGGGAATGTCGTATTATGTGCCTAGATCAAGAACAGCTGAGCGCAGCTTTGTACATTGACTTATGGATCAAGGAGTGATATTCATAGTCAAAACAGTTTGAACCTTCATCAAGTGCTTTAAACTTTACCTGCTCGACTTGAGCATGGAATTTGTTAGAAATGGTTCACTTTGTATCCATTTGAAGAGGGTTTGAACAAGTTGAAATATTTTCAGATTCTCCTGACATTGGATGATGATTTAGCGGAAAAAGATAGAAGAGAGATATCCGTGTTTTAAACCCCGCCTCTACTAACCGTCTATTGGATTGTTTTACACGAGTACAGTGAGAAGAAGAGTGTAAAACCGTACAATAGTTTATTTTATACCGAGTTGCCTTTTTTAAGAGTAGGTAGTGTAGTTAAAATTGAAAGAGTGTAAATACTTATTTTTTACTATTAATATTTGCAATGTGATATTCCTAGATTCTTACCATAGTTTGGTTAGTATTTGGAAAATAACTATGAAGATACAATAAGTTGGCTATTTTTATGTATATCCTTTATGTATAGCAAATCATATTTTGAAATAACTATGTTGCTTTGTAAGATGTTTATTTAAGATTATTTATGAAGATTTTATATTTAGGTATTATGGCAGAAAAAAGGGTGGAATTAGTGGATATAGAATATTTTGTCACTTATCAAGTAGGGAAATCAGAATCAGAATTGTTTATTGCCATAATAAAAAATGTTCAGGGCAAAAGTCACTAAAACTAAACAAGTAAAATCACACCCATTAAAATAAAGATACAAACTTCAAGAGTACATAGGTAATATTTTACTAGTACCGTAAAACCCTTTTAACCCAGATCCCAGTCAACCGAAACCCGGGTTAACCAAAACCATCATAATGAGTAGTGTGTTCGGCTTAGGTACCTAACAGAATGTGATAGTGTATTACATTCTTTATTTCTTGTATTATTATTAATGTAGCGACGACATGGATCTCATACAAATAGATATATGTTGAGGAAATAGATGATTATTTTGATAAACAGATTTTTGAACACAGTAGATTTTAAAATGGCAGCAATTGAAATAACAGAAGCGACTATTGTTGAAGATCTCCTTAAGTAGACATAGCCCTTTAGTTCCTACCATTGGTTAACAAAATGGTTTGCCCCCTTTATTTTGGTTTATCAGGGTTTTATTGTACTTTACTTGAAACAATTTTATGATAAGTCGAATGATGTAATTTATGTAAAATATCCATACGACTGTTGTTAATTGCTTTGCAAAGCTCAGGTCATTTTTTTAGCTTTTAACACAGTCATACCCATTTAAAAAATAAAAAAACTTTCAAGTTTCCAAAATTTAAAACTTAGACTTGTCATTGTATGAACTATTTACTTAGTTTAAAATGTATAACAAATATGCTTTTATAGTTAGATTTTATTTAATCATTAACTTTTCTCTGGAAATCGTGAGTTTTGGCTGGAAAATGACATTTATTAAAAAGACAATGTAATATTTTTTGTTTTCTTCCTTATTTTTTTTTTGTGACTCCTTAACTAGAGTTCTTGTGAAGCTTTAAATAGAGGATGGTTTTATATGCTGCAAAAATGTGTTAACAGATCTTTTATGTTGATTTATAAAGATGTAATTCTATACATAAGTATGATTCAGCTTCTTTAAAGCTTATTCAATATTGTCATAATAGTTTAATCATGTTCCCATTCTTGAATGATAAAATATTCATTTTATGAAAATATATCATTATCATTTTGTATTAAGTAGTAGTGGTAGAAGTGTGATATTTTCTGTTTAGGCCAAAATATTTTTTTATAAACCTTCACCTTTAATTTATACCATTTATTATAGTTTTTACCAAATACACTGTATTTAAAAATGAAATGTATTATGAATTCAAGCCTTTGTAAAAGTTAACAGTAAGTTGTTTTGCTGCAAAACTGGTTTTAGTTAAGTTATTGTTATTGACGATCCTTAATTTGCAAATTCACAGGGAACTGAATTTTTAATTTTTTAATTATTTTAAAAATCTGCCACAATGTAGGGGGGGGGGGGATTGAAACACATTACCAACAACCGTTTCATTATTAATTTAATAAATTGAAACATGCAAAAAAGAAAGTAGGTACTCAAGTCTTTAAAAAGTAAATACAAAGTATTTTTGACCGAGTTTGCATATAATATGTATTGTATTAATTTTGTTTTAATGCCCCACCTTCACATTCTATGGACATTAGGCTGTCGACATTAGAAACCGTTTAACAAATTAATTCAGGCTAGACCTAGAGGGTAGCACTGTTATCACATAGCTAATTAAATACATTGGTAATTGGTAGGATTTGAACCAGGGACATCGGGGACCAAAGCCCAGTTCTCTACCACTACACTGCACATTAATGGTTGTTTGGACCATTGGTAAATTAAATTCTCATAGTCATATACAGAAAAAAATTTCAACATAACATAGTTTTACAGTTATTGTTTTGTATGACTATTGACTGCTATTCAAAACCTTTTGTCTGACAATGCTTTAAATTTTGTGAATACAGTGTGTAAGATAATATAAAATACTAATAAATGCTGCAAGTAAAGAATGTGTTTATTATTCAACAAGAGTCATCATCACAACAACAACAAACTAAATTATAAAACATATGTTAAATGCAAAGGCATATGAATGACACTACATCTCCCCTTCCTCATTATATTTACTCATATCTTATTGGTGGTATTACTCAATAATACTATGTAGGATCGAGGTAGATTGGTTGTTGTTCTTATGGTTCCTTTCGCACTAATATCTTTAACCCAGACTCTCTCTCCTACTGCTAAAGGTGGAAGTTCTTTGACGCCTCTTCTGTTGTCAAAGTTTTTCTTGACTCTGTCTCTTATTCTCTTGTCGCAGTTTCGAAAGGATTCTATTTGATCTTTTCCAACCACTTGAAAGTCGTTGAGAGAAGGTAAAGTTGTTCTTAGTTTTCTACCATACAGCAGCTCTGCAGGTGATAACCCCGATTCCAATTTGGTGGTCCTGTAAGCTAATAGACCAAGATTGGGATCCGGACACTTTAGTAGAATCCTCTTGGCTATAGATACAGCGTTTTCAGCTTCTCCATTTGATTGAGGAAAGTGTGGACTACTAGTTACAGCTCTAAATCCGTACTCTTTTGCGAAACCTCTGAACTCGTCAGAAGTAAACTGAGTACCTCCATCTGTACGAATTTCTAGAGGGATCCCGTGTCGTGCAAAAATGTTTTTCATCCTTCCAATAACTGCCGCTGAAGCCAAAGTATTGAGTTCGATGAGCTCTAAAAATCGTGAGAAATAATCTTGTATTACCAAATACCAGTTTTGGTTACATTTCAAAATATCTGCACATAAATGGGTCCAAGGCTCTTGAGGAAGCTGTGTAGACATCAGAGGCTCCTTTCGCTGTAGTCTGTGTTCTATACATGTTGGACAATTTTCCACTGTAGTACTAATTTCTGTTGAACAGCCTGGCCACCAAACAGATTCTTGAGCACGCCGCCGACATTTCACTATACCCAAATGTCCCTCATGTAATCTTGATAAGATTTCTTTTCTCAAGGCCTTTGGAATGAACATCCTCCTTCCCTTAACAATTAATCCATCTTCCAAAGTGAGTTCATTGCGATACTTCCAGAATATCGAATTTTTCCGCCATGTATTCTCTTGGATGCATTTTAAGAGCTCCTGTCCTTCCGGGTCTTCATGTTGGGCATTCTTAATTTCCAACAGCCGTTTATCAGAACAAGGCAATGCATCAATTATGCTTCTTACAAACATTTCTTCCTCCAGATTCTCGATAACCTCATTCTCCCGATCCATTGGTGAAATTTCAGGGCTTCTTGATAGTAAATCTGCAGTTACATTTCTTTCCCCGGGATGTGAACAACTTCGTAGTCAAAATTTTGTAATCTCATACGAAAACGTTGCAGCCGAGAAGAAAGATCAGAGATCGGCTTTGAACCCATTATCTCAGTCAGAGGCTTATGATCTGTGTAAAGCTGGAACCTTTTACCAAGAATAAAGCTAGAAAATCTTTCGCAAGCCCAAGTTAAGCCGAGAGCTTCTTTTTCAATGGTAGCATATCTTGACTCTGTTTCTGTTAATGTCCTCGATGCAAATGCTAATGGACGCCAATCCTTTCCATCAAACTGCTCGATCACTGCCCCTAAACCATAAGATGACGAATCTGCCATTACACGGGTTTTCGCTTCTCTGTTGTAGTTGGCCAATACAGTATCATTAGCTACGACCTTCTTCAATTCCTTAAAAGCTTGTTCTTGAGGCTCATCCCAAGTCCATTCAACTCCTTTTTTAAGGAGACTTCTGATTGGTGCTGTTTTTTCAGCTAGATGAGGAACGAACTTCATTAATTGGTTTATCATTCCCAAAAACTGTTGAACCTCCGTTATACTCTGGGGGCTTTTCATGGCCAGAATAGCTTTAGTCTTCTCTGGGTCAATACTGACTCCCTGCGATGAGACAACGTGTCCGAGGAAAATCACACTTTCTACTCCAAACTTACATTTGTTTTTGTTTAACGTGATACCATTTTCTGAGAGTCTCTTTAGTACCAGTTTTACTCTGCTGTCATGTTCTGCTTCTGTCTTCCCCATTATCAAGATATCATCCGCTTGATTCACTACGCCTGGGATATCTGAAAGCATTTGACTCAGTCGGAATTGGAAAACCTCCGGTCCAGAACAGATTCCAAACGGAAGTCTCTTGAAGAAATATCGCCCGAACGGTGTAATGAACGTGGTGAGTTTAAATGAATCACTGTAAAGTGGAACCTGCCAGAATCCATTGGCAGCATCCAACTTAGTGAAAAGCTTACCTCCTTCCAACTTAGCTAGAGACTCATCCACTGATGGAAGCTGCAACAATTCTCTTTTCACATGTTGGTTCAATTTTGTGTAATCAACACAGAGTCTAATTCTACCATCACTCCTTGGAACCACTACTACGGGAGAACACCAGTCAGTAGGTTCAGTTACTGGTTCTATTACACCATCAGCAAGCATCCTGTCCAATTCATATTTAACCTGTTTGTGGAGCGAGAAAGCCACCCTCCTCGGTGACATAACAGCATAAGGTTTTGCATCTTCGTGCAGCCTAATCTTGTATGGATGATTCATTCTACCCATGCCCTCAAACACTTTTGGATATTGACTCTGGAGTGATTCACCATCTACAAGATTAACGTTAAACGTAAGTAACTCCAGTTTCAACAATGCATTTCTACTCATTAGAGGTGTACTTTGGGACGGCAAGACATATATGTCTTCTAATATTAGCTTATTGCCATACATAATTTCAGCTGAACAGACACCCACAACAGTCAATTTAGTCTGGCCCGGCCCAAAAAGAACTTTATGGGTAGGACGGATTACAAGTTTGAGGTCAAGTGCAAGTGTACTTCCCATAACAGAAACGTCTGCCCCAGAGTCCATCTTAAACTCTACTGGTTGACTATTTACCTTTACCACTACACTCGGACATTCACCTTGCTTAAAGTTTACTTCACCTAAATGTCCTTTTTTTGAATCAATCAAATCGTCTGAGTCAACTTCCTTAATCTCTTTTACCTCCTTTGGTTTGTTTGGACAACATTTTGCAAAGTGACCACGAAATTTGCACTTGGAACACTTTTCTCCAAAAGCAGGACATTCCCGAGGGCCATGAGTTGTTCCACAGCGACGACAGGAAAATGTTTTAGTAGTTTGAGCCACACGTTTATTATTATCAAAAGGTTTTGAACTTACCCCAAATACATCTTCCCTGGATGGTTTATCTCTAATTACAGCTTGCTGTTTAGACATTGCTTCTGCTTGACGTACTCTCGTGATTGCTTTATGAAGGGTCAATGACTCGTCTAATTGTAGAGACTCTGATAAGTTTTGGTTATGAACACCAATAACAATTAAGTCTCGTACTAAACTGTTTTTGAGCTGTCCAAACTCGCAACTTTCCGCGAGTTTGTGCAAGTCATTGACAAAAGCATCCACCGGTTCACCTGCACTTTGCCTACGTTTTAGAAATTTAGCTCTTTCGTAGACCAAATTTCTTTTAAGGTCTAAGTACCTCGCAAAGGCATTTACTACATCCTCATAACTTAACTCTTTTTCTTCACCTAGTCCAAATGTTTCAAAAAGACCTTCACCTTCCTGCCCTAAAGTATATAAAAGGGTGCTTATTTGCTGGTGGTCCGGTTTAAGATACAACTCCGATGCCTGCCTGTAACGTTCAAACCGCTTAATCCATACAGGCCACATAGCTGGGTTGGTAAAATCAAATATTTCAGGAGCACTTAGTGGTGCCTGTAGACCTATCACTATTGGTGCTGGCTTTGATTGGGTACTAATCATTTTCATAGATTTATCAGAGCCTATTTGAAACTTACTTCTATGTCGTGGACCAACTGCCTCATCTCCAGAATCTTCAGTTGTAAACTCGTCCTCTTCCTTTTTGGACTTTCTAGAAGATTTCTTGTTAGGTCTTGGCATATTTTAAATGTTTATTTCACAACCTGACACCATGTAAGATAATATAAAATACTAATAAATGCTGCAAGTAAAGAATGTGTTTATTATTCAACAAGAGTCATCATCACAACAACAACAAACTAAATTATAAAACATATGTTAAATGCAAAGGCATATGAATGACACTACACAGTGTTAGTCTGAAACAAGTTATTAATTTAATCAAACAGCTACAGCTAATCGGAGGAATTAGTTTAAGCTACTTTTCAGGCTTCTTCTGTTTGGAGCTTTTGCTTCTTGTTTTGAACACACTAGGGTCGATTTGGTTCAGAGTTGGATCAAAGCGAGGACTTCGTACATCCTGTTCCGCCAAGAGATGAGGACAAATCATGAACATCATTTGCTGGAAGGAAAACAGGAAACATCAAATGTCAACTCTGACCTGTATTTTCATACAGTTGTAAAAAATCAGAAGAAATATCTGAGTATATTCATTATAAGTTATCAGCTTTATATTTTGACATTAATCTCTCGCCCTCACTCTTGGGGTCTGGGGAGAGTAGCACATGCTTACTACTTTCTTCCGAAGAAGCCCCTTGTAGGGCCAAATAACAAATGAATTGTTTTGTAAACCTGTTGTGTGCTATCAACTGTCTGGAACTTATCTTAATGTATCCCCGAGGTCTCCAACTTTTTTTTTTCAGGCGGTACACAAGGATGCTAATTCAGACCCGCAGTTTGCATTTGATGCGCTGGTCGGAGAGTTAACTGTGCCCCCCTCCACCTACCTTGTTCTAGAAGCTTCCTCTTCCTTGCGCCCCCAACACACCTGATGCCTGGTGTTATTGGTTGTTGGTTGACCTCTTGCGCCTCAGGACCTTCTTTAATTTTTTATCATTGTGTATGAAAATTGTCAAAGTTGATAAAAGTACATGTGTGTCATGTGTATTCGGTAGAAGGTAATTGAACCTTTCCTCAATATCATCAGAAAATTCATGACTTAATGCGCAATAAGTTTAGCTTCTATAACATTCCAAAAAGGTTACACCTTGGCAGCGCTCTATTTTTCCAACTTCCATGGTACCATGGTGGTCACTCACCTCGGCCCATGGTGTTAGCCCCATGGGTGTAAACCTGAATTGCCACTGAGGTAGACCTTGATGGACCAACATCATGCGGAAGTATTGAGTGAAACTTTCAGCCAGAAAGTGCCACTCATAGCTGCGATCCAACAGCCATATCTTCGGCTCCTTCTTCGTGTCACCTTCTGGTTTCTCCATGTAAACGAGGCAAACCTGTTGAGGATTTGTGAAATGTAATTCCGACAATGAATCAACAACTCAAAAGAGGAAATATCATGTACTTAATCCCCCATAGGTTATACAGTATCATCTTCCACACCACTTCTAAGATAAACCAAACGAACCTGTCATTTAACCCTGACCATTGTCCAAATTCTCACTTTGCTCAGCCATCCTCTCTCTACTCTACTATTTCACTCCATTACATACATATTTTTTGTCAAGGTTTAGCACTAGAAAACAATGTTAATAATTGTGCACATGCTGCTTTGATAAAAAATATTAGAACAGATTCAAAAGATTTTTTTATATTAGGACTATTTAACCAGCTTAACGAAAATACAGTGTAGATAGTAGATGTTAAAGAAATAACAAAAACAAATTATAGTCAAGAACAACTTTCTAGTGCTACAAAGTTGTTAATTTAACTGAAACTTCCACTTAAAATATATGCCCAAGCAGTTAAATAAAATAAAAAATTTTAATTAAAGACAGTAAAAAGAGACTCACTTTTGCAACATTTTGACAAGGGTCGAGTTCAAATATTTTACACTTTGGTCCGAAGTTAGGTTTGGGTGATCTCGGCTCAGAGACGTTACATATCTCAATGTCAAGAAGGTTTGGACAATCTGTGTCTCCCGATGTCTTCACACCAGCCAATCGTTTCAGCTCTGCTATCGAGTTGATCCTTAGATTGCCAATCGGGAGTATTTCACCTGCACACTCTTCCATTATCAGTATCAATAGCCTTGAGTCTTGACCATGTTATTTTTGGGGTTAGGCTATTGTGGACATTTTCCATTAAACTTTGTAGGCTACAATGTTTTTACAAAGTATTGGGAAATGGAATTTGCTCCTGTACTTAAGGTGAGAAATCTGATTATATCAAGATGAGTACACAAACCCATCCGAAGCTGGAAAACCACTTAAGAAAAACCAAACGGAGAACTGTATTCTAGTCGAAACAATAAACAAAACTCCTGAAAGAAAAAAAAATAGGCTATTACCACAACCTATAATGTTGTTGGGTTGGTGC